TGCCCCCCCCCCCTTTTTTTTTTAAAGCTATAAGGCATTTTCAACCAGACACTATTTTGTATTTGCTGTAGAAGTGGTAAGAATTAATGTCTGATTGTGTTGATGGAAAATTAATAGAAGCTTTAATAATTACATTCCTTGCAGGTTTTTAACTGAACAACTTTTTAAAACGGTGTGGATTCTTTATTCAGTAGACTTGAGTCTTTGATTAAAATCTATGGGAAGTAAACAGGTAGTTTTTCGCCCAACAGAGGGCTCCCGTAGTTACTATATAATACAAGAGAAACTCATTGAGTCATGGAAACATAGTTTTAAAATATGAATACATTTTCTTTGGCTATTTGAAATGTGCCCTAACACCTTCCTATGGATGTTGCCATAATGCAAAAAGACCCAAAACTGTGCACAGAACATTGGTGAAAGTCAGCATAAGTAAACAGGTTTCTCCCAAGGTTAAGCTATACCTCATTCTTCCAATCATGCCCTCGTTCCAAAGCAATCAGCCTTATGCTGTGCCCTGATCAGCAGCAGACGATGGCTCTGTTGAATCAAAGTGGGAAGCCAATGGTTCTCAGCTGAGAAAAATAGCATAATTTTCAATGGGATTTAGGCTGCTAAATCCCTTAGTTTTTGAAAAATTTACCCTAAGTGACTAGCCTAGGGTGGTGCAGGATGTCTGTGGCAGAGGTGGGCATAGAAGCCAGATCTCCCGAGTCGCATTCCATCACCTTAACCACAAAGCCATGATTCTTCTCTTGAAAGCCTTTAGCCACAGTTTTTAGCCTCTCCTTTCTCTCGTCCCATGGAGATGATTTTAAAGCAGGAGACCATAATCCTGTTTCAGAGTGTGGTTGCCCATCCTACTAACACGGGATCTTTAGTGACACATTAGTGTCTACAGTGTCGTTTATTATGTTAATACTGTTTCATCAAACTCTGTTTTGGCACAGGTGTTGTATGAGCTTCCCACAAATACCCAATGGTGCTTTGACGTTCAGTGGTGTCCCAGAAACCCTGCTATCCTTTCAGCTGCTTCTTTTGATGGACGGATCAGCATTTACTCCATCATGGGAGGGAGCACAGATGGTTTGAGGCAGAAACAGGTAGACAAGGTATTGAAAAACGTGAAGAGGAGAATGTGAAGTTGGAGAAGAAAATAGTTTGTTCCGTGTGACAATATTTGAAAATGGCAGAAGCATTGACTGCCAAAGTAGTGCACTAGACTGTTGAATAATTATCATGTACAAATATGTATCTTACGTTGAATACTGCAGGAAATATGCAATCAGTTTCTTTCTCTTTAAAGCTTTCATCCTCCTTTGGGAATCTTGATCCATTTGGCACGGGGCAGCCCCTCCCTCCGTTGCAGCTTCCACAGCAGACAACTCCTCAGAGCACTGTTCTACCATTAAAGAAGCCACCCAAATGGGTCCGACGGCCTGTGGGTGCATCATTTTCAGTAAGTGAGAGCCCCTTTGTAGGCTACTGAGTGGGCAAATTGACTTTGCGGTAACATTTCTGATATATTCTCTGCAAGCAGTGTAGAAAGGGTGCTATATTGCATTACAACAGAGCTTCACTCATTTGCAATAATGACTGGAAAGTCCACTGTGGAGTACCACGTTTTGCATTTGGCAGCCAAGCGAATAAATATGTTACAAAATAATTTTTATAGGTGCTGCATCACCATACACTTTAATTTACTTTGCTATGTGTACTTTAGTTTTCAATTACGAACTACACTGCATAGTAAATACACTCTATGTTTAGTAACAGCTTTGAAGTGTGTGAGACCTCTCTGCTGTTAAGTCTTTGCTGAGAAGCAGGGTGAGAATGCCAAGGTTCGTTGGTGTGTGCATATATTATATAAATATATATATTTATTTAGGATTATCAAAGTCACGGATTAGCCAAGTGAGATTTAGCAAAGTTCCACTGTACTTTGAGAACAGAGCCATCTGTTCTATAACTTCATTGTTCACTTACTTCTAAGTTACAGGTTTTTTAACTGAGAACTAGAATATACTAGGTTTTTGTTCTCTCAGTGTTGAACCCTGACTCAGAATAGATATCTGTGCCAAAATACTGATCTAGTCTCAGCATAGTGTTATCTGATTCATAGGTTAACGTGAAATTTGACATCTCCATTAGGGTATAATTAATGTTGTTTTGGAAACAATTCATATATCCTTCTAACTGTATTTTGGGATGTTGATTCCTATTAGCTCATCCTAGTTCTCCATTAGCTAACTGAGAAATTTGGATGTGTGTGGGTTTTTTGCTTTATACTATTTACTCATTTAAAGCCAAATCAGTTACCTTTTTTTTCTTCTTCTTCTTCTTCTTTCCCTATTATCCCAATCTTGGTTCTTTCTATGCCACTTTTATTTCTGTCTATCTAATCTGCCAGTTGTGTGCTAAGGTAGTGTTGCACATTTTTAGGTATGTTTTCAGGTAGCACTTATCATGCCATATGTGTATGCATAATTTTATTATTTAACAATTCTATCGTAGCAGCACCAGAAGCCCCAATCAAGATTAGAGCCCCATTGTGTTAGATGTGCAAATACACTGTCCCTGTTCCTAAGAGCTTTCAGTCTGAGGCTGTGATCCTACAAACATTTATGCAAATGAGTAATTTTACTACTCTTAGTAGTCTCAATGAGTTCAATGGGGCTACTCACATGTGTAAGTGTTTGCAGGATTGGGGCAACGAATCAAGAGAGAAAATGTGTGTGTGTGTGTGTGTAAGTAATATATAAATGGGTGTGCATTGTATAAATATGTTGTAATATTTGGTACATTTATTTATTAAATTACAGTTTGGAGGGAAGCTCGTTACATTTGAGAATATAAAGTCTCATCAACAAGTAGCTGAGCAGCAGCAGCACCACCACGTGTATGTGAGTCAAGTTGTTACAGAGAAAGAGTTTCTGAACCGCTCGGATCAGCTGCAAGAAGCTGTGCAATCCGAAGGCTTCATCAACTACTGTCAGAAAAAAATAGAAGCTGCCCAGACTGATTTTGAGAAAAATGTGTGGTCTTTCTTAAAGGTAATGTTTTTCAGATGTTTCTGAATTATTAACGGATTCCCCAGCCTCTTAAAACCAATACTAAAAGTGGTTCTCAGTACACGGTAAAACATTTTAAACAGGAAACACTGTGTAAAGCTAATGAGGCAATTTCTAGTTTGTACAGTAGAATGAGATTAGATTCTGAAAATGGTATCAAATAATCCATATACTTGATCAAAAGAGATTACTGGTGGCAGGACAAGAAATCTTTGAAATAAGGTATGCTTTAGTGTCTGCTCTTAAAAGATGTTCTAGCAGAAGCAAAGAGCTACAGATTCTGGGGAAGGTTTGACATAATTTAACCATTAGCCTAGTATTGGTACATCTTTATACTAGGTCAGGTAATGAGAGATTTCATTTGGTAAGGGAAAATATGCTTTCTGTTATTAGTTATGACGTTTTGTGTTTTCAGAATAAGAACTAAATGGAAATTGAAGAGGTCCAGTGACTAGACATAGCTATACTCAGAGGCCCAGATCCTCAGAGTCCACAATTAAGTTCTCCCTTTTTAACACATTTTGCTTAATCATTGATTTCCAATACATGGTCAGTTGAAATTACAATGGGGAAAATGAAATTAGGATTCAAAACATGCTTCTTTTGACTATTAGTTTTTTGTTTTTTTTAAGGTGAATTTTGAAGAAGATTCTCGTGGCAAATACCTTGAACTTTTGGGGTACAGGAAGGATGACCTAGGGCAAAAGGTAAATCTGCTTGAAAGTTGTATATGTATTAAGTATTTATACTGAGGAATATATTGAAATATAAAATATTAGAGACAGGGTCAGAAGTTGAGGTGCTTATATTATTTGGCATATGGATGGAGAGTTGGAATGGCAGTAACAAAACAGAGCACGTGAGAGGACATAACATTTTTCTATGTAGTAGTATCTTGAGGGTGCTTCCTGATAACTCAGTTAAAGCTGTATTATCCCAGAATGCAGTTATGACCCTGTGATAACTACTATATTACAATGACTATCCTATAAACTAGTGGTCTCCAATCTTTTTACGCCCAAGATCACTTTTTTTAATCTAAGGGCAATCCAGGACCTACCCCGCCCCGCCCCCTCTCTCCATCCCTCCCCCCCCCGGTCACTCACTCTCCCCCACCCTCACTCACTTTCGCCGGGCTGGGGTAGGGGGTTGGGGTTCGGTAAGGGGTGCGGGGTCTGGGCTGGGACCGAGGGGTTTGCAGTGTGGGAGGGGGCTCTGGGCTGAGCCTGGGGCAGGGGGTTGGGGTGCAAGCTCTAGGAGGGAGTTTGGCTGCAGGAGGGGGCTCCGAGCTGGGGCAGGAGGGAGTACAGGGTGCTGGCTCTGGGAAGAGGGTCAGGGGTGGGGCAAGGGGTTGGGGTTCAGGAGGGGGTTTGGGCTGCAGGAGGGGGTATGGGGCACTGGCTTCAGGAGCGGGCTGAGGGTTGGGGTGTGGCCTCCTACCAGGCAGCACTTACCTCCGGCGGCTCCCGGTCGGCGGCCGGTGCAGCGAGGCTAAGGCAGGCTCCCTGCCTACCCTGGCCCCACACCGCTCCCGGAAGGGGCCAACGCACCCCTGTGTGTGTGTGGGGGGGGGGAGGAGGGGCGGCACGTGGCTCCGCACACTGCCCCTCTCTGCAAGCACTGCCCCTGCAGCTCTTCTGGCCAATGGGAGCTGCAGGAGCAGTGCTTGCAGGCAGGAGCAGTGCGCGGAGAGAGACCCCTGGCCCCCCTCCCCTCCCGCCCCTGTGGCCATGCTGACCACTTCCGGGAGTGGCATGGGGCTGGGGTAGGCAGGGAGTCTGCCTTAGTGGCAGCCACACTGCACCGCCAGAGATCGCAATCGATCGACCAGTTAGTGACCACTGCTATAAACAGTACCCTCAGGTTATTTAAATACCACTAACTTGAAGACTTATTATTTAAGCACCAGCAGTGTGCTCATTGTTCAAGAAGATCCAGAAAAACACCGTATCTGCTCTGAAATTTTTATCTAGATACACAACACAAAATACCTTATGAGACCCTGGAGAAATTTCTGTCTAGAGCTTTTTATAGCAGTAGCAATATTTTTTTAAGGTATATATTCTCCTCTTGTTGTAAACACTCAGGTTGAAAATTTCAAAGCGGTCAAGAGGATTTAGATACATCTATTAATTTTAATAAATGTGTGTCTAATCCCCTAGACTGCTTTGAAAATCTGAACCTCTTTTTTTTCCTGTTAATAGGAATTACTCATGTATGTGGAGATGCAATTCAGTGCAATTACACATGTATAGTACATAGTTAAAAAAATTAAACCCTCTTTTCTGTGTCGAATTAGGATAAAATACTAAGAGAGTAATATTCTTTTTTTTATTTGGGTGGTAATAATTTTTAGGAAACAGGAAACCCTTCCCTCCCAAGAAGAACCCCAAAACAATCAAATCCATTTACATTCAGAAAGATAGATGTTTTCTCCACCTCTTGAAATAGCAATTTGCACTGTTTGGGTACAGTTCACCTCTTTCTAACCCAGAAAAACATCCTTATCTTGGAGTGACAGAGTTAAATCTGGTCTCCAGAAACAACTGTTGCCTAAGTAGGATACAGGGATAAGTCTTCAGACCAGGGCCGGCTCTAGGATTTTTGCCGCCCCAAGCAAAAACAGTTTTGGCCCTCCCCCCCCCCCGTTTTTTTCTTACCCCACCCCCGGCCCCACCTCAACTCCGCCCCTTCCCCAAATCCCCAGCCCTGCCTCCTCCCCCCAGGCTCTCAAGCCTAGGAAGGAGGGAGGGAGGGGGAGAAGCGGCGCATGCGCCACGGCCACTCGGAGTCTCCCCCTCCCTCCCAGGTTTGAGAGCCTGGGAGGGAGGGCGAGTAGTGGCGCGCGAGCGGCAGCAGCAGCGGAGGTAAGCTAGGGCGGCCGGGGCACATTTTTAGGGGCGGCATTCTGGCGCCGGCCATGCCGCCCCTAAAAATGTGCCGCCCCAAGCACCAGCTTGTTTTGCTGGTGCCTAGAGCCGGCCCTGCTTCAGACCCACAGTTTTTCATTCTTGTGTTTAAAATTGGTCTCTGGTGCCTGTTATCACGAAGACAGCAAGACACTTCAGACCCTCAAACCCATACTTTGATTAGGTGCCAGTTCAAAAATGCCTGTAAGTGTTAATGGTAAGGAATTTAGTGGTATATGTAGAGTATGTAAGTATGGTGGTATGGGACTTGATTGACCTTTTAGGGGAATTGATGTGCTTTGAAATAGAAAATGAGTTTTCTATGTCCATGCTCTGCATCTTCATAGTATCTTCTGTGTCTCTGCGTACACAAATCCTTGAAATCTGACGTTAGGGTTGCCAACTTTCTACTTGCACCAACCGAACACCCTTGCCCAGCCCCTTCTCTGAGGCCCTGCCCCCTGCAAACTCCATCCTCCCCTCCATGTCGCTCGCTCTCCCCACCCTCACTCACTTGCTCATTTTCACTGGGCTGGCTTAGGGGGCCGGGGTATGGGAGGGGGGTGAGGGCTCTGGCTGGGGGTGCGGGCTTTGGAGTGGGGCCAGGGATGAGGGGTTTGTGGTGCAGGAGGTGGCTCCGGGCTGGGGGTGGAGCTGAGGGGTTCGGAGTATGGGAGGGGGCTCTGGGCTGAGGCAGTGGGTTGGGGTGTGGGAGGGGGTACGGGCTCTGGCTGGGGGTGCAGGCTCTGGGATGGGGCCAAGGATGAGGGGTTCATGGTGCAGGACAGGGCTCTGGGCTGGGACAGGGGATTGTGGGAGGGTGCCCTGGGCTGGGGCAAGGGGTTGGGGTACAGGGTTAGCGTGTGGAGCCCCCGGCTGCCCCTACGTGTAGGAACCGGAGGGGGGACATGCCAGCTGCTTCCTGGGAACCACACGGTGTGGAGGCTAGCAGGGAGCCTGCCAGTCCTGGTGCCACCAACCAGACAGTCAACAGCTCAGGCAACGGTCCTGACCGGAACCACCGGGATCACTTTTCGACTGGGTGTTCCGGTTGAGAACCGGATACCTGGTCACCCTATCTGACGTGCTTTTCTGAGCTTGCTTTTCAAGCCATCGCCTTTATTTCTCAATGCTGTATTCTTCACCTTTTTCAGTAGAACAGTGTTGCCTCTATGAAATCTCCAGTTTGTCTTCCTTTAATTTTGACTAAGTTGGTGCAGACACTTTACTCATTTTTGTAATCTGTAGCACCTCCAAACTTAAAAGTGTGTCTGAAAAATAGCCAGTTTTCAGCAAAGAATTGCACTTTAAACTGAATCCATGTTCTCTATTGAGTTGAAACAATACAGAGTGACTGACTAGTCTTAGAGTTAATGACATCTTAACAACAACAAACAATTTATTCTTTAACATTTTTAGGTTCCTTACTTCATCACTAATATAAAAAGAGGAATTGGTGTCAGTTTGCCAGAATGAGCTTCTAGTAGCATGTGGCTTTATTTTATTATTTTTTGGTCTGGCACTCTGGCCAAACCAAGGGAACTTCTGGAATATGACTTTTCATTGCTGTATTTACAGTAATGTAAATAAAAACGAGAGTCTAGGAAAAAACCTGTGCATTAAGCTAAATGTACAGACTAGAACAGCCTCTAGGGATACTATTCAAGCTGTAGAACTAGAAGTAATCAGATGAGATTAGTGGTATTAGAAAAGCCATTCTGTCCAGCTGCTGGACTAATGGTTTTCAGTCTGTATTTTAACTCTTTATCTATACATTAGGTTGGGATTTTCAAAGGGATCTAAAGGAGTTAGACACCCACTTCACATTGAAAGTCAATGAGAGGTAGGTGTCTGCACTCTTCTGCCTGTTTGAAAATCCTACCCTGACACATTATCGTGTTGTGGTTGAAATAATCCTAACAAAATCCAGTTCCCCTAATCACTATAGATAGGGATTTCCCCCCCCTGAGAGCTGTGTTATAACATTATTTTTATTATTTTATTACTACAGTAGAACTCAGAAGTCCCAATCAGGATTGGGGCCCCATTGTGCAACACAATGGAAGACACAGTCTCTACCCCCAGAAAGCTAAAGTCCAAGAAGATTTTAACCTTTAGAAGCAGTCAGTTCCATCATGGTTTGGTTAGCATAGGTCTCAACGTAAATTCCTCTGCACAATGATCAGGGAAATGTTCTGGCATGGTTTCAACTCTCATGCAATCAGGGCCTTATCTTCATCTCCAACTTATGGTGACCTGCGAAATGTTAACACTTGCTACATACCCTAAAGTAAGAGAGGAAACCGCTTAACTAATAAATCTTATTTATTTTGTAGATTACTTCAGCTCTGAATAAAGAGAGTCTTGTAGATGGCAAACCAGAGGAGGTAAGCAAACAAAAACAACAAAAATATTTTTTGCCATATTAATATAACAAAAATGTGCCAGGTAAGAATAATTTCTCTTTTAACTCAATAGTTATACCAGAACATATGAAGTAAATTTACAATTTCCACATAAAATCCGAAAGTTCATATTTAAAAAAATCCCTGAAATCTCTGGCACTAGAACTGTGTGAATATCATTAGTTAGTTTATTTCTTATCACCCAGTTAGCAGTTAATGGTGTGTTTGTTTTAGGATCTCTGTCTACAGGGAGCGAAATTAATCTTGACATGAGTCTTGTGGGGTTTCTTTGCTCCTCCATATTGGTTGCTTTTTTAATCCTTTTGTAGTGTCCATTACAATGTTTATGTTGTCTGTGGGTGTAGAAAGGTGTCATCCTTCCTGTTGTCAGGCAATCTCTGCAGCCTCCGGATCATTAACAAAAAGAATTGCAACGTGTTGGGGGAAGACCCACCCTGGAAAGCACAGAGTAAACAACCTTCGTAGCTAGCCCAGAAATAAACAGTTCCTCTTCTCTCTTTCTCTCTGCAGTCCCACATTCTCAGCAAGTCACGTTTGTTGTAGGCAATCTCTACTTATATTGCTATTTCTACCGTCCCTTAAACATCTGGTAAAACAAAGTGTTGTGAACTCTGGCTAAATCTAATTCAAGATAGTAATTCACTCTAATGGGAGTTGCAGAGAGAAATATAATCTGTGGCGTCTAAGTGCCTATCACTCTGGAGACAGACAGGACGGGGAATCCTGCCCTTATCATATGGAATGAGGGAGCTGGGGAAGGGAGCTCTCGCCACAACAATGATCTAGGGACCGTCCAGGTCCAGGATTGTAGGGGTGGAAGAAGGCAGGGAATGCACTGCCAGGCAGCGTGCTTTGCTCCTGTCAAGAGGAGCAGTTGGTGGCCCTGGCTAGTGTGTGCTGTACATTGCAGGATACTGATTGAGGGGGCTGCCCACTCTTCCCAGAGTGAATCTGATGCAGCAGCAGGCCTGGAAGCTAGGCCCTTCTTGTAACGGGGTGCTCACCGTGCCCCACTGGGTTCAGCCTCCTGGCCCCGCTCCCCAATAAGTCAGGACCACTTCAAGCTGGTGCAACACCTGCACTCTTTATTCCTGTGTCCAATCCCCCGCAACCAGCTCCAACTATCTGTAAATAGATTATTGACAGGTTTGGCCTAGCACAGGCCTCAGTGGCAACAGGCTCCTGAGCGTACTCCTCTCTGCCCCCACCCCCCTTCTTCCCAAGTTTTTAGCCCCTGTTAATGAGGCGGGCAGGTGTGGCCATTTTCCAGGACAGTCCTAGCTGTGACCCAGACCAAACCCATTTCCCCTGATTGGGGTTGGGGTGGCAGGAGCTAATTAGGGTTTCCCCTGCAGCGCCTGGCCACACTTCTCCCCTAGCATACCTGTCTGCATTACAGAGAAGGGTTTGGTCCAATGGTTTAATTTTCAGCATGTGGGACTGAATCTGAGATTTCCACTTGTAAGCTTTCTTGTAAGAACGGCTTGCACTGAATACGCATCTTTTTTTTCTTAGTGGTCTAAAGTGGTAATGAAATATGCCCTCGCCCTACATTCTCTGCTTCACACTCTCTCCTTTGTCAGAGTCTGTTACAAACACTCTTCATATCATTATAGTGCACATGCTCTTTTGGCTACTATCAATAAGGCCTGGTCTACACTAACCCCCCAAGTCAAACTAAGGTACGCAACTTCAGCTACGTGAATAACGTAGCTGAAGTCGACATACCTTAGTTCGAACTTACCGCAGTTCAGACGCAGTCCACACGCGGCAGGCAGGCTCCCCGTCGACTCCGCGGTTCTCCTCTCGCCGAGCTGGAGTACCGCAGTCGACGGCGAGCACTTCCGGGATCGATTTATCGCGTCCAGACCAGACGCGATAAATCGAACCCGGAAGTTCGATTGCCAGCCGTCGAACTAACCGGTAAGTATAGACTAGCCCTAAGTGTCAAATTTAAAAAAAGGAGCTACATGTGTTCAGATGGCTAATTGGAAAACTATGGCCTGGTCTACACCTAAAAATTATATTTGACCTAGCTACATTGCTCAGGGCTGTGAAAAACTCCGTGCCCTGTGCAGAATAGTTAGGTCGACAGAATTCTTCCATCAACATAGCTACCATCTCTCAGAGAGGTGGATTGGCTACATCAGTGGAAAACCCCTTTCCATCGACGTAGGAAGCATCTACGGTGCAGCGGCTACAGTGGCGAACCTGCAGCGCTGTAGCTGTGCTGTTGTAGTGTAGATGTGGCCTAAGTGTGGCTCTTAGTGGGGAAAACCGAGGAAGTGAAGACATTTACATTTCTGCAAATGGAGTTCTGCTCTTGGCAGACTCGCTCTGTATATTGTTGGCTCGTGTTCCTTTTAATCTGTGTTCTTCAGTGCTGAGTGTCTTTCTCTCTCTCTCTCCCCTGCTACCTTTTTCCAAATGCCATCTTCCATTCTCTGCAAAAGGCTCTTGAAGAATCAGACCAATCAGTACAAAGTGATGATGAAGATAGCCAAGCTACTGAAGAGCCGTTCTTGGGAGAGGTAAGTGTTGTCTTCTGTATTAACTATGTTGGGTTATCACGCGCTTACCCACTGCCTTAACAGCTCATTTCCTTTCTAGTGTGTCTTTCTAATGTTCTGTGTGTGTGTGTATTGTACCTGTGCATATTTGCACAATGGCAAATGAGAGGGGACGTGGTCAATCAACAGTTTCTCTGTTCAGGTTTGGTCCACACTATGAAAAGGTTGAGAACTCATGTTTGAAGGAGACTTCCACTGGGTAGTACGCATTTCTATATGAATTTTATTTTAAATACCAAAATTAACATGTGGTGCATAGATTTTCACATCGGATTTGAGATAGTTGTTTTTTTTTTTTTTTTTCACTGAAAGATCATAAACGGTTCTATTGTAGAGGCTGCTGAATGCTTTGGTCCTTATCCAGTAAAGCATTTTTAAGCATCTGCTTAATTTTCAGCATGTGAGTGGTCTCATTTCAATGTCCAAAGCTAAGCAAGTGCTTAAATGCTTTGTGCCCAGGACCTTGTAGGATCAAGCACCAGATCTCCGTGCAGTAAAGTTAAGTGTTAGGTAGGTAGCATTAACATACAGATCAGCCTTTTTGTGGGGAAAAATATATGCTTATTTAAAAAGCAGTACATACCAACCTGATACATCATGCTGGAGCAATTAGACGCTTGGACATTGACTCACCCTGACACCTTGAGCAGGTAACTTTTTGGTTTCCCTCTCTGTAAAATGAGGATGTTATCATCTGCTATCCTCACAGTGGGCTGTGAGGATTAATTAGCTAAAGTTTCTGGAGGGTTTTTTAATTATTACTATTCTGTGCATTCATGCATGGAAATCCCAAGGCTGTACCTTGTTGTCCAAGTAATTGCTTGCAATGTCTAAATACTCTCCCAGGTACTTAAATGAACCTCTTCCCAGTGAAGTGAACCCTGACGTTTTTGAAGTGTTTTCCCCTAATTGCATCTAGTTTTAATAATGCTCATCAGTGATCTGTCAGCAGTGTGTTTTTATGTTTGTACATTTGCATAGCTAGGTAGATCACTGGGTACGTTCCCGACTTTTCCACAGTGCTCAGAGATTTGCTTTGTACTGGTGCTGGGGGATGTTAATGACATTGAGTAGAAAGACTGAGCATAACAATGCTCTTTCATTGTAAGTTAGTGGCCCCTTGGGGAACGGATGTAAGAAAGCATACCATGCCCTCCAATATACGGTGTATGTCTTCAAACATGGATTTATTTAGCCTAAACTTTGCATAGACTGAAAAACTGCACTTTTCCTCTCTATTAGAGAACAAAAGAGGAGACTGAAGATCTGACATCTGGAAAAGAAACGTTTAACATCTCTGTCAGTGGAGGTAAAAACCTGGTTATATTGATTTCATGGAACTTGCAAATATTTTTAATTGAGATACAGCAACTGTAGCATTACCTAAATTCTCTTTATATGGAGCCTTCTGCCTAGGGAATGTCAGAGAGTCTGTTATTTACCCGCATTTAAATTATTTGCACTTCTATATTAGCTTTCACCCAACAATCTCAAAGTACTACAACATCTGTGTTAGGAAAAGTAAGGAATTACACAGGGATTGCATCCCCCATCACTAAAATGCATCCACCTCTGGGTAGTTTATGACACCTTTTTAACTGCATATAGCAACACTACTTTTAGACAGATTGTTAGGAAGGATCCTGTACCAGTTGACACTGAAACTAGAAGAAGGATTTAGTCAACAGACTGTTGTTAGCAGAGTTCAGATTTGGTCAGGAGATGGGTGTTAACACCTCATTCTTACCAACACTCCCAGGGGATCTTTAGTGACCACCGAAGTTCAAGGCCTTTCTTGTACATCTCATCCACAAGATAGCACTTCAAGAAGCCCTGACAAAATACACTGGGTCATAGTTTCAGTACTGACTCAGAAAAAAGAGTGCTGCCTAGTGAAATACCAGCAGTACTTCCTATGGGCTAGTCTACACTACCCGCCCGGATCGGCGGGTAGAAATCGATCTCTCGGTGATCGATAAATGTTATACCAATAAAAACTAGCAGGATCTTATTAAAGGGGACAAGATAAAGATGCCACATTTATTATGATAACAATTTGATTTATGACCAATAACTAATATCTTAATCCTTATACACACACATTATACCTAATACCTATATACACACACACACATTTACACACACACACATCCATCAGATGTTCTGCAGCTGCTGCATAGTTACCAGTCCTGCTTGAGTCTGTGGCTTGAGTTTGCAGCTTGGGTTCGTAGCTTGTGGCGGCTAACTGGCCAGGAAAGCCGGGCACAAGGACGAGCTGGGTCTCTGTTGGGCATGCACCGATGCCCTTCCATGTTGGCAGCAGAATGTTACCCTCCTCCAAAGTTTTCCATCTCACCCATCCTTTTTGTAGGCTTTAGTTTGAATCCAGAGTCTATAGGTCTTGCTGTGTCACGCTGCCTCCAGGTTTGGTGATTGATCACCCGTCAATTGCAGCCATGACTTTCAGACTGGGACCGGGCTTTGATCTTCCTTTTATTGTACCTTTTCTTTTTAGGGTGGATTCTTCTTACTTTGTTAGGGCTCTTGTCTGCATCTTCAGCCGTTGGTGTTTGAACTCTATTTAATCAGGACAGGCTGGGGCTGGAGGTTGATTCCATCATCCATACATAACTCATTCACACATCTAAATTAAACTAATAAGATTACAGCAGGGTTTGCAAAAATGAAGGTTGCAGCAAGCCCTTACAAAATGGAGTAAGTGTTGTAAAATGGGGTTTGAATTACAATATGGCAAACAGTGAACAGAAGTTACAATATAGACAAGTATAATGGATGGCAAACAGTGAACAGAAGTTACACTGTAGGCAAGTGTAATAAATGGTGAACAGAAGTTACAATACTGAAACAGTGCAAGTCTCAGGCCTGGTCTACACTAACCCCCCAAGTCGAACTAAGGTACGCAAATTCAGCTACGTTAATAACGTAGCTGAATTCGACATACCTTAGTTCGAACTTACCGCGGTTCAGACGCGGTCCACACGCGGCAGGCAGGCTCCCCGTCGACTCCGCGGTACTCCTCTCGCTGAGCTGGAGTACCGCAGTCGACGGCGAGCACTTCCTGGTTCGACTTATCGCGTCCAGACCAGACGCGATAAGTCGAACCCGGAACTTCGATCCCCAGCCGCCGAACTAGCGGCCTGGTGTAGACCAGCCCTCAGTGATTTAAGCAGGAATTGGATTGATAGTGAAACTTACAAAGGCAGCTGACTGAACAGCTATGGCTCTTAACAAGCATCTTAACTGTTAATTAGCCAGTTATTGGAGTAACCGGTTTTATGAATGAATATTGTTTCATTCATAAAACTTTACTTATGAAGTTACATTAATAAAGTGAACAATTAAAAACAATTTCATTCATCAGTTCTACATTTATCGCTTCTCATCTAGACGGATAAATCGATCCCCCAAATCGACGCGCATACTCCCACCTCGTCAGGAGGAGTAAGCGCCGTCGACGGGGGAGCTGCGGCGGTCAATTTGCCGCCGTCCTCACAGCGGGGTACGTCGAATTCAGCTACGCTATTCGCGTAGCTGAATTTGCGTATCTTAAATCAATTCTCCACCCCCACCCCCAGTGTAGACCTAGCCTAAGACACTAAAGTACGTGATTCTTGGAGATCTCGTATCCAAGTACTGGTCTGGCCTGACCAAATGGGTTTGAGATCTCTTGGGATCATAGCACAAGGTGATAATGCTGCAGGCTTTTTGGCCTTGATTCAGGAAATCCACCCTATTGAGGACAGCACTTAAGCATATACGAAAGTGTTGTCTTGAATAGCAATGAGCTTAAACATGTGCTTAATTTTTTTCCTGAATCAAGGTCTTTAAGAAGAAAACAACCCAGCATCACACAGTGAGAGAGAAGCTGCTACTTGACTCACCTATATAACTGTATGTTTAATGCTTATTTTATTTTGAAGCAGTGAAATTTTTAAAACTAAATTATTCCTCCTGTTGCAGATGTTGATGGTTTGATTACCCAGGCTTTGCTGACTGGTAACTTCGAAAGTGCGGTTGATCTCTGCTTACATGATAATCGCATGGCTGATGCCATCATATTGGCCATAGCAGGTGGACAAGAGCTGCTGTCAAGGACGCAGAAAAAGTACTTTGCTAAGATGCAAAGCAAAATTACCAGGGTATGTAGCTTTTCAACTGAAAACTAAAACAAAATCTGTGTGTATAGGCTTTCAGCAGATTCCTGAAACTGTTAATGTTCTGATGACATACGACTTTCCTTGCTATCTATATACATTTGTTTCTAGGAGAATTGAATGTAGGGTAAATTCATTCATGGGATCTGTGAGTGAAAGTGTGTTTTTCTGTTTTGTGTATTGTTAAGCAGAGAACAGGTTTATTAGCTAGGACGAAGAGCAGCTTTTACTCTTTTTTCTACTCTCTCTCCTCATCCTTTTAAAATGTGTTGATCACATTGAGTAAAAAGAATCCTCGCTGATGAACAAGGATAAATATCTAGTTTAAACAGTGTTTAGTGTATGTGCGGTCTCTTATCTGGTCATCTTTAGCAAGTACTGTACTTACTCCAGCTGCAGCACTTATTATGTTAATTTCTGTCCAGTCAGTTGGAGTAGAGATTTTTGCTGATGTTTTACTTTACTGTGTACAAAGGTTATCTAAGAATAGCAGGACTAATCTAATCACATGACATCTATGAGACAGTGTGATATGGACACCTGGTTATTTGTACTTTTCAGCTTCTGCCTTGCTGGCAATGCTCCTTCAGTTCTTTGCCTCCTGCTGCTCACTTGCGTCAGAGGGTCAGCAGAAGGTGAAAGCAAGAGGAGCAGCCATCAAGACATACTGTTACCAAAGTTGGCATTTTGAAACTGACCGCGTATTTCAGTTCTTGCGTCTCACTGTTCCTTTGACAGGGAAAGGCATTTAACGGTGCAGTAGGAGGAGGCAAAATTGAAAAGAGCAGGTTTTTATCCTCATGCTAAGGTCCTGAGTTAGCAAAGCACTTAATCACATGCTTAACAGGGAGCAGTGGCTTCAAATGGGACTGCTCCTGTGCTTAAAGTTGAGCAGGTTACTCAAGTGCTTTTCTGGCTCAGGGCGTAAGGCTGCAAAGCATGACCAGCACTAACACACCATCTGAAGTCTCTAAGTGGCCATTCCCTATGATCCGATTGGGGCAAGGGCAGTTCCAATTTCTTTTGTCTGGGGCAAAGGTAAAGCGGGAAAATCTGTCCCCCTCTCTGAGACCTTTTCTAGATATTTTTAGTAGGCTTAAAGAACAGAAGTAGTGGTATTTCAAATACTCCTTTTGACAATCCATCCTTTTGGGAGACAATTCTGTGGAACACCAATCCCTTACCTATGTGTTGTGTTAGCAAATAAGTGATACATTTGTCATTGCACATTTTTTTTTTATTAGTTACTTGCCTTTGTTTTTCTTCTAAAGTCATACAAACTGTTTGTTATGCCCAATTGTGTTTCTTACAAGGCCCTTGTTCACTAAATATCAACACAGCTGCAGAGTAAATCAGTATTCCATCTGAAGTGGATGAGTAACTGGAGGGCAGAGCCAGAGGCAGGGAAGAAAAAACTGAATACTATCAAGATCCTGACAGTTTGGCTCAGAGGACAAAGGGTGGGGTTGTTCAGTTAGTGGACAGAGTGTTGTTGATGCAAGTCTGGGTTGCCTCTGCTTAGGGCAATCTCTTTCAACTGCAGTGAAGTAGGCTGCCAGGGGCGTAGAGTTTAATAAAATGGAATTAAAAGGTTTGATTGGCATGCAGTTTAGGAACAAAATCAGTGACACCCCTCACTTTGCCCTGTGTTGTGCAGAAGTTTTATAACTAAATTCTTAACCAAACAAAGCTAACCTTGTATTGTAAAATAATTTTTTAAAGCATCTGCATTGTCCCTAATTTTCTGATTACTGTACCCGTGTGACGTTGCACTCAGGACACCCAGAACTGTGAGCCACCATGTTCCCACTCTGCCTTAGCAAGAGTGAGCGTGTTGCTGCTGATAAGGTATGTGTTAGCTTTCTGACACATCAGCCTGTCTGCCTTGCCAGCAAACTCTTCAGGACTCCGCCAGCCTAAACCTTGCCTTGTAGGTGACAATCAGTGAACCCCAGTTCTCAAGTTCCCCAGAGATGTCTCCCTGCAGTGTCCAGTCCCTCTCACTGGACACTCGCAGAAATTAAGTTCCCTGCCTGCAGAGAGACTATACACACACCAACATGTTAGGTTAGCTAAGACTCACACTTCCATACAACAGCACTGAGATGGTTTTGTAATAAAACAAGAATAAGTTTATGAACAAAGAACAGAAATTGAAGTGATAGTAAGCAAGAGAAAGAGACAGGTATGGTTACAAATAAAACAAGAAAAACATGCTATAAAGTAAAAGTGACTAAAACTTAATCTTTCTTTGCCTAAGCAGTTTTTGTATGTACATCAAGTTACCAGCATTCATAGCGTTTCAGACTAGGGGATCCAACTTTTACAGGCTCAAAGCGTGCTGTACCTATGTCTTCTCAGTGATGGGCACCTAAGGGGTTCTCTCCCTTTCTTGTTATAGACCATAACCCCCTGAAATGTATTCTTTGAAAAGTAAGCACAGAAGAAGTTCCTCTCCCCTGCTGCTTGTTCTTCAGGCTGAAGGCGCCAAGCCCCTTTTTTCACCCTCTGGTCCATTTGCTTTTTTAATTAGTTTGATCACTTTATTTACCTTAGATGCAAATGTACTTCTGTTGTACTTTGCTTGACCCTGGCAGACTGGTGAATCCACATTCCTTTGTCTAGGACAAACCTGTTTATCTGCTCTACTCAGATTGCTTTGTCTGAACACATTTTAGGAACATATTTCCAGCACACATATGTAACACTTTACACGCTACCCATGCGTACCTCACTCAGTAATGCTATCATAGAACCTTAGGGTTGGCAGGGACCTCAGGAAGACCAATCCCCAGACAGATTTTTACCCCAGTTCCCTAAATGACCCTCTCAAGGATTGAACTCACAATCCTGGGTTTAGCAGGCCAATGCTCAAGCCACTGAGCTATCCCTGCCCCCGGTGACAATCACTGCTAATCACCACTGTGTTACCAACTTTCAGAAAACCTCTTATTCAATACACGTTTATAGTATAATAATATTATATACAATAAGTTGATTCAATTGTTTATTCTTTGTGGTTCAGACCCTCTTTTTTCCCCCTGGGACATCTGCACCTGATCGTCACATCACGTGGTGTGAATTTTATAATAAGGGTACTTGCTGTCCTGTGTTGCCTTTGCCCTGGATTCTAAATTTCACTGGATCCATCTAAACATGAATTTACATAATCTTTCAGATTAGTTGAGTCATGGTGAAGTGTCTGTCCCAAATACCTTGGGGTTGGACACACAGCATAGATATAAATGATATGGTGTCAGAAATGGGAATTCTACAAAGACATCATTCGGTCTTTCTCTTTCCTTCCCAGCTCATCACTGCCGTTGTGACAAAGAACTGGAAGGAGATAGTTCAGTCATGTGATTTGCAAAACTGGAGAGAGGCGCTGGCTGCTGTGTTGACTTATGCTAGGCCAGATGAATTTGCAGCTCTCTGTGGTAAGAAAACTTGATAATGGATGTAATTTATTTTACTCAACTTCAGTGAAACTATGCTTTTAAATACTCCAAAGTTATTTTCCTTCAAATGAATTAATGTATTCATAATTAGTTCGTTCATTGGATTATTCCTTTATTTTGGATTATGGGAACTCATTGGAATTTTAAAGGAATACAATCAAGTTGAAATCAATACTCTATTATCTTTCATCTCCTACCCAACCAAATCTGTCTGTGTTCCTGGTTCAACATGCAGCTCCCCCTATTGTATCTGTTCTGTGAACAGACAGCTCTTCAGTCTCCAGGGATGTCAGTCCAACTCTTTTTTTCATAAGGCATTAAATTCATTGTTTTAATTTTTTGTAATAAAAGAAACATACCCCTCAAGGTGATCCATTACTAAATCATTGTACAATTCAAAGGTGTTTGTACATGGAAAGAACAGGTATGCTTCTTCACGGCCAAAGCAAAGCACAACCACTGTTATCTTTTCCTATAAGCCAGCAGTGATGACCATTAATATGAGAGCTGCCTCTGCTAAGAAAACAGTACATAATATTCTTTTCTTATGGGATGCCAATTAAAATGTTTCAGAAACATGACTAGATGCGGCAGAATTATCAGACAGATTAACATGATTTGTTGGGGAAGAGCCAACATGGCTTTTGTAAAGGAAAATCATGCTTTGCACATCTATTAGAATTCTTTGAGGGCATCAACAAACATGCAGACAAGGGTGTTCCAGTGTACATAGTGTAGTTGGCCTTTCAGAAGGTCTTTGACAGGGTCCCTCACCAAAGGCTCTTAAGCATAGTAAGCAGTCATGGGATAAGAGGGAAGGTCCTCATGTGGATCAGTAACTGGTTAAAAGAGGAAACAAAGGGTAGGAATAAATGGTCAGTTTTCACAGTGGAGAGATAAATAAAAGGGTCCCCCAAGGATCTGTACTGGGACCAGTGCAGTTCAACATATTCATAAATGATCTGGAAAAGGGGATAAAAAGTGAGGTGGCAAAGTTTGCAGATGATACAACATTACTCAAGATAGTTAAGTCCAAAGCTGCCTGCCAAGAATTACAAAGGGACCTCAAAACTGAGTGACTGGGCAACAAAATGGCAGATGAATTTCAAAGTTGAAAAATGCAAAGTAATGCACTTTGGAAAATGTAATCCCAACTGTACATACAGAATGTTAAGGTCTATATTAGCTGTTACAACTCAAGAAAGTGTTCTTGGCGTCATCATGAAAACAGTTCTCTGAAAACATCTGCTCAATGTGCAGCAGCAGTCAAAACATCTAACACCGTTAGGAACCATTAGGAAAGGGTTAGATAATAAGACAGAAACTAATATAATGCCTCTATATAAATCCATGGAATGCCCCCACATCTTGAATACTGCGTGCAGTTCAGGTTGCCCCATCTCAAAAAAGATACATTAGAATTGGAAAAGGTACAGGGAAGGGCAACACATATGATTAGGGGTATGGAACAGCTTCCATTTGAGGAAAGATTAAAAAGTATGGGACTGTTCATCTTGGAAAAGAGATGACTAAAGGGGTTTATGGAAGTGTTATTTACCCTTTCACATAAGAGAAGAACCAGGGTCATCCAATGAAATTAATAGGCAACCGGTTTAAAACAAACAAAAGGAAGTTCTTCTTCACACAATGCACAGTCAGCCTGTGGAACTCGGTGCCAGGGGATGTGGTGAAGGCCAAAACTATAACAGGGTTCAAAAAAGAATTAGATAAATTCCTGGAGGATAGGTCCATCAATGGCTATTAGCCAAGATGGTCAGGGATGCAAGCCCGTGCTCTGGGTGTCCCTAAACCTCTGACTGCCAGAGGCTGGGCCTGGATGACGGGGTTGATCACTTGATAATTACCCCATTCTGTTCATTCTCTTTGAAATATGTGGCATTGGTCAGTGTCAGAAGACTGGATACTGGCTTGATGGACCATTGGTCTGAGTGTAGCTGTTTTTGTATACAACCGTGTTAGCACTTTAAGTTGTTAAAGCACCTTGGAAATATTAATTCTCCCACCATGGCTAGGAGGAGGGAAGTGCTGTCTCCTTTCCACAGATGCCCACACCGAGGCAGAGAGGAGTTAAAGGCTTGCTCTTGCTTCTGTTGAAGTCAGTGGATGAAGGAACAGGTCCTTGAGACTCACCAAAGACCACACAGCAAGTCAGTAGGAAATCCAGGGTGAATGTAGAGGAAATCCAGCCACCCACACCATGTGTTCACTCCTGCATACCACGCTGTCTCACCTCGCCTTATTAGCATAATAAACCAATGGCTAGCCATGGTTACACCAGCCTTATGTTCTAAACCTTATTAACATTACTCACATGATGGATACTGCCATAGCTACAAGACAAAATATATTGTGCTAGCAAATCAGATTGCCAGACACATGCAAATAAACAGCAAAATGTAAGACAAGTTCAGACTAGCCCCCATCATTTGTCCCCTTTGGACACCTCAACACGTTGCACAATTAGTCTGTTTTCAGCATGAGTGTCAGGGAAGAGGGTTCCCACACTTTGGGTTCCTATGACTGCAGATAAACACTGAGCCACATTGGCCAAGCAGTATCAGGAATGTGTCACAATGCCTGCATTCCCTCTGTGCAAGATGGGTAACATTTTCTACAGCACCCTAAATGACCGAGTGGGTACGCACCAAACAATGACAATTTTAATGTTTCTCTTCTACATTTTGCTAAATTTAGAGTTTTGGCATATATTTGAGTATCACAGGGATTTTCATTGTCTTACCTAGAGCTAGTCCAAGCATCCTGAGTGGTACTTTGTTTTAATTATCAAGTATTTTATGAGATGACTCAAATGCTTTTTGTTCATAATTCTTAGATCTGTTGGGCACTAGACTTGAAAACGAAGGGGACAATCTCCTGCAGACACAGGCTTGTCTGTGTTATATTTGTGCTGGGAATGTAGAGAAACTAGTTGCGTGTTGGACTAAAGCTCAGGATGGAAACAGCCCCTTGTCCCTTCAGGTTAGTGTCTTTGTGAAGAAAAGTGAGTGACATGCTGTAATAATTTGGTGTGGTACTTTTGGTAAGTATGTGAGTTTGGCTTTTAAATAAGTTTATTTTTATACGGGATTTTGACAGACTTGCATATCCTTCAGCATGAAAGTGATGTGTTACTTTAATGAGTAAAATAAGATTATTTATAAATGGCCTGTGGTGACACTATATTGCAAAACATGTTCAATGTTTATCTCAGCTTGTAAAAATAAGGCTGTTGCATTTTTGAATTTATATACTGTCTTTGCAAGGGTTGATATCATTTAAATTCATTAGAGACCTTGATTTGTTTTGTAATTCTTGCTTTTGGAATAGATGGTTTAGAAACTTTGGGGACGAAGTACCTAAAAGTAAAACCCAGAATAGTTAGTCACAGGTGTTTTTGAAGGTGGACATGGATATATTTATTTTTTGGACTTATATATATGTGTTGTGCTTAAGGCAAAGTCAATATCTGTTTCCCCACTATAAGGGAATTCTTGCATTTTTTCTTTTTATGATGTTGTCCTATGAAATTGCTTTGGACTTCAATTTTAGAAGTAGCTTATTGTAATACTGCCACGCAGGTCAATATTTGCAGTAGGCTGAAGAAAACAGAAATATTTTAGAACTGTATTTTATGTTATCCTGTATTTGTAGTTGAATTTCAAATAACTAGAATTACTTTTCCGTCTTCTGAACAAGATTTCCTTGTTACAAAAATATCTCAGATTTGAATTTGCATTTTGATTGTTTTGCTTCACCAGTTCAGACTATAAAAACCACAAATGAGCTAATATTAGGCCTCAGCGAACGGTGATATGAGAGAGCTGGACATCCCAGAAACTATTATTTTAATCCTGGGGGAGGGGGCGGGAGGAGCTTGCCTATTTATTAAGATATTCACTTACTGGGAAAAAACATGACTGAACTAGAGAACAGTCCAATAAACACACAATACTAGTGGTGTACTATTGCGATTCATGTGTGGGTCTGGATTTTTTAAACACTGTACCTTCATTAATGGTCTAGAAGAGGGAGTAAACTGTACATGAATGACATTAACAAATTATACTAAACTGGGAGCTATTGCAAACACCAGTGAGGATGGAGGAATAAGAGAAAAATAAGAAATGTGAACAGAAAATAACACAATGAGATTAGGATGACCAGATAGCAAGTATGAAAAATCGGGACAGGGGCCGGGGAGTGGGGGATAATAGGCACCTATACTGTATAAGACAAAGCCCCGAATATTGGGACTGTCCCTATAAAATCGAGACATCTGGTCATCCTAGGTGAGATGCAACTGGGGAAAAAAATACTAATGACATCTGGGAGAAAAATAATCCAAAACACAGCTGGTCAATGGGAAGGAGGAAACTGGGGAATAGGTTTCAGAAAGAGAGCAAGGGTCGATGGTAGACATTTCATTGAACATGGAGTTTGCAGTGCTGTTTGATAGTTAAAATTTTTGAAAAAAAGGGCCAATGCAGTTTTGGGCTGCATATACAGAGGCACAGTTGTTAAAGGGTGGTGCAAGCAATGAGGAGAATTATTTTGAATGGTACATGGGTTTAACTAGGAGTCATGGAATGGAATCAAGAAATGGAAAATTTATGATGAATATCAAGAACAATTTCTTGTCAGTAAGAACGATTAGACTGTGGAATAGTCTCCCAGAGGGAGTGGTTGAATCCTCTTTGCTTAAGACGATTAAAACTAGAGTTGCCAAAACACTATTAATGGTACGTTAGGGAACAATCCTGCATTTGCGAGAAGATGGATTAGATGACCTAACTGGTCTTTCCCATTTCTGCTTTGTTTCTAGAAAAATTTTGTAACAGCAGTAAATAACATTCTTTTGTTGACTAATACTAGAAAAAATGGCTGCTGATAATCTACAGGTACCTTAGATCTCATAAAATAAGAATTTTAAAAAGCTTTTCTTTATGGAGTAACCAGATTACTACTGGTTTATTTAATGTCAGTACATTTTAAAATGCACTGAAATTAATGGTCACTGATTACTGTTCTATTATCTTGCTGTCTTTGAGTGTTACACAGAAAACCAGCTAATAATGGTTGGGAAAATCTTTATTTTCACTCTGTTTAAAATAATGTAATGAGAACTGTGTAGTATGCAAGGTTGACCTCGAGTCTGTTATTGACATGCTGTAGTTAGTGGCCATTTTCTCTCACTTGATCCCATTAAGTTGGTGTTTTTCCCTCTGTCATAATCCCCCAGGACCTCATTGAGAAAGTAGTAATCCTGCGTAAGGCTGTGCAGTTTACACGATCTATGGACGCTGATGCTGTCGGGGCTCTTCTGGCTGAGAAGATGAGTCAATATGCCAATCTGTTGGCTGCACAGGGCAGCATTGCTACTGCATTGGCTTTCCTTCCGGCAGACACCAACCAGGTAAGTGGCCTTAACTTTCCTTCTGCCCCCTTCTAGATGAACAAGCTTTAATTGAAGACCTTTGCGTGGCACATATAGTGTAGAAAACTGTCACTTGAAGACATGTTCCAATGTGGTTTGGGGTTCTTCTTCCTGCTCAGAACTGCATTGACAGGGATTATTATTGTGCGTAGGTGGGAAAAGTCACTGGAATGGAACATGGTCTCAGTGTAATCGTCTCCTGGTGCCTCAGAAGTTAAAAGGGGGGGTTGGAAAATAAATCAAGGTGAAGCCAAGACTTTGCTTTGTGGTCCCCAAGTGACAGTGCTCTCTTACAATGAATGGTTTAATTCCTCTCCTGCTAACCACTTACTGTGAATTCCATAGGTTTTGCAGGGTGGCTATTGGACTATCGGTTAATTCCTGTATATATACTGAAGTTCTTCTTCTTGTCACTCTGAGCTGTGAGAATTGCATTTCATTCTTCTCCCTTCTTGGCATGCCATTCTCCTGGCTAGTGCGGATTTGAGAAGAGCCCTCTAGAGCCAGTCACCAGTGGTTGTAGCTGCAATCACCCCCCATACCCCATTTTCCCCCTCTCTCCACGTTTCTGTGGCATTCCCACCACTGCCGGCCTGAGAATGAGAATACCAAACTTGGGATTCAACCCACACTTCCAGTAGAGTCACCTGCACCGAATCCAGCTGGAATGCCTGTTTTTTGGCCGACGAACAGATTTGCTTCAGCCAACCAGAACACTGTTCAGTGGAGTATCCTGTCCTCTTCTGAACAGTCATTTGAAGTTTAACTGATCAGTAAGTGGCCATCCATCTGCTGATTTGAGGCCACAGATTCCACTCGGTGTAATTATGTGTTTGCTTTGGTTTACTATTTGTAGCCAAAGATCATGCTGTTGCGGGACAGACTTTGCAGAGCCCAGGGAGAACTTCCAATGGGACAGGAGACACCAAAGTCCCCGTATGAGAGAGAACCCATGCCCAAGGGAAGAGCTGGACCTGTGGCTGGACAAATGCAGATGCCCCAAGGCCCAGTCCAGCAGTATTATCAGCAGGTAAATGATTTACAGCAGTCAAGCTGAAGCAGTGCTTCCACTGCGTGGGGTTTGAAGATGATGGCTTGTGCCCTTTGTTTCCTTTCATGAATCCGAAGTGTGTGTGTGATGTGCCTACAAGCCCTTTGGACAGCAATTCCTTTGTGCTTTCTTGCCATCTGCGTAGATGCCTCCTTCACTCTGCTTTTGGAAACACCTCTCACATATCTTATCAAGCAGCCTGGGGTTGGAGATATATTTTTTTTCCTTAATTTCAAATGTATTTCAGTGCAAAGCACTACAGCTTCGGGGATTTTTTTATTTTTATTTTCCCCTCCGTCATGCAGCCTTTGAGATGCAGTCATGTCCTGCAGTAACCATCTCTTCAGCTAAGGTCGGGCTGGCTAGTCACTCTGCAGCCCGTTGCTCTGTAATCGGCCAGAGAAATTGCTGCACAGCTGCAATAGCAAACTCATGATAGGTGATGCCGATTCTGCTGGCTCATGCTGTGAGTCCAGTGATGGACAGATTGGGTGGCCAGTACAGCCTCATGCTTAAAATCTCTTCCCCGGGGTGTGGGGAAGAGGCAGGTGGAGTAGGATCTGTGTATGGAGAACATCTGCACCCTGGACAGGGTAGAGGTGCTGGTGAGGGAGGCCTGGAAGACCAGAGCGTGAGATGTGCTGGAAGAATGAGTGAGTGAGTCTGGGGTAGAGGAGGAAGTTGTTTGGGGGGCGTTGGGTGGGAAGGCAAATGAGATATAAAGGAGGTTGGGGACCTTTGTGCTAGATTGGACTCAAGGCTGTACCAAATCAGACTACATGGTAGAATGGGGGGAAACAGGTTTGCCATTATTGCCGTGGGATGGTGTGAGACACGCCATCTCAGCTGTTCCCCTAGTTTAAGTGTGATTGCCAATCCCTTAGCAAGCCATTGTTGATTGGCTGGCCCTTTTGCCACTAGCTGCTTTCAGTTAATTCCTTGAGAACGGAAGGCGTGTATTAGTGGTATAGGAACAGTTTTTAAATGGAGAAAATGGAAATGAGAAACTAGGTCTGCGCTTTGGGTTTCCCTTCACATCCTGGGTGCTGACGGTGTGGATTTACTGGAATGCTCACACTTTCTGGCCTTGAGGCATCTGATGCTTCAAGTAAATCAAGTAGTTGCATCTTCCCAGCTTTTTTGGATTCTGGCTGCGGAGGGGGTTATGCTGCATCGCATCGCATCAGGGAAATGAAATTATTTGTCTTTTTGAGGGCAGAAGGAAGAGGAAAGGCTGAAGGGTCAGGTTGTTTGGCATTGTTGTCCTCCTTTGTATATCGGTGGCTTTGAATGCCTTACTGCAGAGTTAACCCCAAATGTTATCCTGGATGTAGAACTTACGAAAAGTAACTTTCAGAGTGGGCATAAGACTTCATTAGATTTATGCAAACATCACTGTGCTTGATTTCAGATACATTATTACAAATAATTAAACCAGCTTTTCCTTTCTGTTTCTCTCTCACCTTCCTTCCTGTAACCAATGAATTGTATTTAAAGGTGATATTGCAGTCGCAATAACCTTCATGTTCTGTTATGGAAAATGTTAGCTTTCCTAGATACGAGATGGTCTTGGTAATGCTACAAACTGAAGTTTCACGTTTTCTACCCGTTAGAGTTAAATGCTAGGAAGGGGATGGGAGAACTGCCTCTGCTTATTTAATAAAAAACAACAAAACTTACATACTGGTAAAATTATGGTTTAAACACAAACCAACAAGTACATTCCAAGTGAACTGTGCAAAGAAATTTTTGACTTGCAGGTTCCTTCTATTAAAAACACAATTCCACATTTAGGTACTGCAGGGATTTGATATTAACGGGGTGTTACAGACGGACATGCAACAGTATGTAGATTGGACAGAGCAAAGTAAAACGTAGTATTTGAGCCTTCACTTTTCGTTTCATTGCCGTTGGCCCCAACTTAGGAGAGCACTTAAACACATGTGTAAGTCCATCATTCCTGTTCAGGCCAGCACTTAAACATGTGCTTAATTATGGGTCTCCGTCTGTGTTGCATTATAATACTCTTTTTTTTTTTTTTTTCAGTAGGCGAAAAGCATCTAATTAACTTTTTAAAATTGCAAACTGATTATTGATCAAATCATGCACATACATATTTGGGAAGTTATTAAAATGTTCATATTTGTTGTTGTAATGGCTCATTCTATCAAAAAAATACATAGAATCATAGAACTGGAAGGGACCTCGAGAAGTCATCTAATCCAGTCCCCTGCACTCGTGGCAGGACTGAGTATTATTTAGATCATCCCTGACAGGTGTTTGTCCAACCTGCTCTTAAAAATCCCCAATGATGGAGATTCCACAACCTCCCTAGGCAATTCATTCCAATGCTTAACCACCCTGACAGGAAGTTTTTCCTAATGTCCAACCTAAACCGCCCTTGCTGCAATTTAAGCCCATTGCTTCTTGTCCTGTCCTCAGAGGTTAAGAAGAACAATTTTTCTCCCTCCTCCTTGTTACAACCTTTTATGTACTTGAAAACTGTTATCATGTCCCCTCTGTCTTCTCTTCTCCAGACTAAACAAGCCGTCGCTATTATTAGAAGTAGGTGTATTAAAGTCATTCCTGAGCCAGGTGGTAACTTAATGTTGTTGCTTTTACTCTAACTATGCAAAGACCTGGATTTAAGGCTCATCTCCTGTCTCCTTCCTCTGACATGCAACGTAGACACTATGAATTCAGTGTACGGCAGTATCTCCCATTCCTCAACAGTGCCCTCTCGCGGCAGTTAAAGATGTGATCTAGATGAGCCAACAAAGTCCTGCTCATTCATCCTTGGTCAGGAAGATAGTGATTACAATGTAGGGCTAAGGGCTTGGGAAAGTACGGAAAACATGGGCATAGGAGATATCTGGTATCCCGTGGGAACTCTGAGGACCCAGTTGTGGGAAGAGACTAACACTGAGGAAGAAGCTTATTGTGCGTGTGCTACAGCTGGATTTCAAATGTTACTTTTTAAAATAAAACATCTGAGAGGGTCATCTGAACCCAAGTTAAACAAACCCCACTTACATGAAGGCAGTCAACTTCCATTTCATTGAAGCCTTGTAACTTATAGGCTATTGTGTAAGTGCTGCTTGGTGTGAGGCCTCAGCATGGGGTGAATTTTTGCAGCAGTTACGAAAATGTGACAAAAGGGGGCTTTGTAATAATGACGCTCTGACAGAGCTGGCTTTAGGGGCATGTATAATGCCGTTCAAACACCAGTCCGCTTTCTAGCTGTTAGTACTTTCTCTATGCTCCATCTTCCTGCTGTGGTTCCCTTTAGATACCAACACTCTTGACCTCTTGTCTTCTCTTTTTGCTTTTGAATGTGCAATGATTTAGGCTCTGTCTTTATTTTTGTTTTATTATCTTGATTTCATGGCTGCTTTGAAGCACTGGGATGCCTGATTTTGTGTGTTCAGAGTTCCTATAACCTGCATTGCATCTGGTAATGTGATACCCTTGAGGGTGTTTTTGTTTTGTTTTGTTTTTATTTTATTTTCCGTGATTGGTATTTCTTTGTTCAATTCAGGTTAGAATTGCCCCTACTGTCACTACCTGGAGTAACAAAACTCCTACTGCCCTTCCCAGCCATCCTCCTGCAGCCTCTCCCTCTGACACACAGGTATAACATTCATTATTCCTCTTTGAGCAGATCCTGCTCCCTTTAAATAAATACCCCCGTATACAATTTGTATGCTTGATGCATTCCGGTGCATTTGGGAGACAGCAACAGGTGTTCAGGTCAATCTGATTTTTTTGTTTCCATTCAGCTCTTGTTACATTTCCAGATATTACCCGGACGGCTAGCCTTGAAAAAGCATTAGCTGGTGTTTAATCAAAATTTAAGTTCAAGTGAGAACTTCCATAGCTTCCTTTTGGCTGTGGAATCATGCAAGTGTTGCAAGAGTAGTCTCTCTCTCTCTCTCTCTCTCTCTCTCTCTCTCTCTCTCTTTCCCCCTAATGTTGGAAATATCAGGTTTAACCTTTAAAAAGTGTCTTAAAATATCTAGATGGCAATTTTTTGTGACGTGCTACACATCATCTCTTCATTATATCGAAGGGGTTTGTGTTCTAAGGATGTCTGCTGCTTCGTTTCCTGTTTAAATGATAGTGCATCACTTTGGCTGTGGTTCACCTTTATATTGTTCAAAAAGCCTGGCTCACGGCGATGGCTATTTTCTGCTCATGTCACTTCAAGGCCTTTACATATGAAATTGTGAAATCCCATTCAACTCCTCCTCTGGCGACTCGTTAGCAGCACCGACTACATCTAATCTCTTTTCTCTTCTCTGCGTTCTTGTTTCCCAGGGAGACCATCCTCCACCCCCAGGTTTTATTATGCCACCCGGGGCTGCTCATCCGAATGTGTCGCCACATCAGGCCGCCTCTCCCGGCTACAACGTGTACCCGCAGGCGGGGGCACGACAGCCGTACCCGCAGAGTAAGTAGCAATGGCTTATTTACACAGCGTTCGCATGAGTGAGTTTGTTTGGGAGGTTCAGACCAATGGGGAAACCAGTGCCACTCTTTGGGTGAGGGAAGAATCCACAAAAAGCTCCTGTTACTGTTCCCGCTCACTCGCCATACCGGGGGCTATTTTGTTAGGGATGATGTGGCACTGCCTATTAAACAGCTACATTATAATTAAGCAGGTGGCTACCAACAAATCTTACTTTGAGGCCTAGACTGGCCCTTCCTAAAAGCTCAGAGGGCCAAAGATCCCTACGAGTATTCCAGAGCCAGGTACTTCTCAAGCAGCATGCCTACTTGTTGAGAAGGAACTTAACCTAATTCAGCTATTGCAGAGTCGGCTCAAAGTGAGAGAGAGACAGAGAAAAAGGGGACAGGGAAGAGACCATAGATAAGGGCAAAGATGGAGATTAACGAGGAAGGGGAAGCTGCAGTAGCCTGTTTAAAACAAATAATAACAAAAGAAACACGGGATGTGGAAGAGTAACCGGGGTGCGGGGGGGAGAGAGAGAGAGAATATGGAGAAATGACAAACACCAAGATTAGACCAGGCACAGTGTTTGAGTTGTGTCATCTAGTGATGAGATCGGGGCCTTGCAGTGAGGAGACCTGAGTCCTGGCCTTGGTTCTGCTACTAACGATGACTGCGAGGATGTCATTTATCTCCTCTGTATGGGCTTCCCCGTCTGTCAAGTGGGGACCCTACTTTTCTACCTGACACAGGTATCGTGTGGATGATGTTGCTCCTAACTTTCCACATTTAGAAGGCTCCCACAGAAGTAGCCACCAGTCTTTCTAAAACCTGTTAATTTTCCTCACCTGCTAATTTTGAGTGTATGGGTTGTGTAATGGCCTGACACTTATGAGTTTTGGGAGAGAAGCAGAGAGCTGCCGATAATCAAGGTCTTTGTGAAAAAGGACATAATTCCCATTGCCTCCCAGGCTCCAGCAACAGGGTGAGGTGACATGGCCCTCTGAGTCTAAGCACCGCATTGTGGGAGTGGGACCTGGCTAGCCAGGAAGTCATTTCAAGTGGGTTGGGAAGGGAGGAGGTGGGCATTGCCACTAATGGAAGCTGATGTGAAATCTGACCCTCCACTACAGAGAGGGACAAACTGGCACCTTTAACCTGCGCTAGCAGGGTATTAGCTCATTACCTACCAGTAGCAAGACACTCTGCCATAGCTGGCTTTTGGAGAAAGGCCCACAACATCTGAGGCCTGAGCTTGCTATTCAAGTTAGGTGTCCTACATGACGGGGCATTTTTCTACTTATTAAGCCACCGAACTAGTCTAAAATGTAAGTGTTCTGCTCAACTGAAATCAGGAGGAAAGTTGTGATCCTTGGTAGCTAGGAAGAGGGAATGGGGCATCAAAACTGGAGAGGATAGTAGCTTTCTCCTAGTCTAATAATGTTACTAACAAAACCTCTTCCTTTTCTCCCCCTATGTAGCTTATCAGCCAACACAGCAGTATTCTTTTGGAACGGGGGGACCAGCACTCTATCAGCCTCAACAACCTATTGCTCCTCCTGCTTCAAACTCCTACGCTAACCCTCCCTATATGCCTCCTGCTTCTCCCCATTCCGCGCTCTCTCAGTTATACCCAGGACAGCCTCAACCCTCTCCAACAAGCTTGAATCCTGGCTCTTCTTTCCCTGCCCCTCCTTCTGGTGCATCCTTCCAGCATGGCAGACAAGGAGCTCCAGCAACTTCTGTGGCTTATGCACTGTCTACTGGACCAACAGGTACTCTGCCTGCAACCAATGAGCTTCCTGCATCCCAAAGAACAGGTCTGCGCTTGAAAGGAGCTATTTTGCTTATGTGGATTTTTGTTGTTGTAGTTTGTTTGTTATGGTGAATTATTAATATAAAATTTGGCTGCGTTTTAGGGTTAATGCACAGTGTTTCTAAAAATGGCATTATTCTTTCTGGGCCTAGTACAGCTGTAAGGGCTTGTCCACTATAGCTGAAACCGTGCTAGCATAATAGCTCTGATTCCCTGATCAATGTGTACAGAGATCTTCTGAGAGTCACGCTGCGCTATAGAAAAAGAACCTCTGTCTGCCCTGGTCAGAGGAACCATGCTAGAACAGTGTTCATATGCAATTGATGCTGGCACAATTTTAACCATCGTGTGGACAGAGCCAAAATTGCTATGTGGTTGGTGAACCAATACCTAAAAATGAGCAAATATCAAACCATCGTGGATGCAGTGAGCCTGGTTCTCTTCTTACTCGCACCATTTTTACTAGCATAATTTCTCAGTAGTGTCATCCCCAAGTCACACACATCTATAAATGAAAGGAGGGTCAAGCCCAGTGTAGGATCAAATTTAATTTAAGAAGCCCTTTCTACTGAATAGCCTCACGGAGATGCAGTCATTAGCTCTGTTTTCCTAATCATCAGCTGTGATGGGATTACTGTGCTTATGAATGCCCTGAAAGATCATCACAAATCATTTAGAAAGACTTCAACAGCATGTTTTTTCTATAAGATAAACAAACAAAACAAAAATAGCATGTGTCTGTTGCTAGAACACAAGAGCATGTTTGAGTGTGCATGATAACAGTGACCCAAGCATCCTTTACTGTTGTTTTCAGTTTGAGCAGCTTTAGTGACCTTTTGCATGATGACCGACCTATCTCTTTATTAATGTCACTTATTTCTCAGCTAACTTTTAAACAGCATTTCCAGTCCTGATGTATACATGAGCGTGAGCAATTCTGATTTAAACATTGTTTTCGCTCTGCTCTGTTAACTCAAAGGGGATAAGGGAGTAATGCAGCAGATTGAAAACAGGGCTGTGTTTGGGCAAGGATTCCATTGTTTAAAGGGACAGCGTCCTGTTAATGGGCTCTGAGACCAAACCATTAAACTTTCTTTTAAATGTCCTTTCTGGTGGGGAAATGGTTTGCTCAAGGCACTGGAAATGGGATATAGAGCCTCTAGGTTGCCAGCTGGAATCCAGGCCAGGTTGGTAGTGACTGAAAGGCTGATGCTGTTTGTTGATTGATGTGAAATGTATTCGGTCTCGGTCCCTTCCCAATGAACAAATCTCCCCAACACAAAAAGCCCAGACCCACTTGGTACTAATTGGCAACATTATTGTCCATCTCATCAGAGATGTCTTGGCTTGAATGGGAGTGGAAGCTGATCTGTTCTCTGACCAACCTGAGCAATCAAGCTGGGTCAGGAATGAGGCACCCTTCACCAGGAGGAGCTCCAAAGGGTGGCTGGGGGCACACTGATGTTACTTGCATTTATCTGAAGCTGGTTCTGCCCCTACCCACACTGTGCCTGTTCTCTGGATAAACAGGACTGCTGTCTCCCAGGCTGTGGCTCCAGTTCCTTTCATGAGTATTACATTTATACACACACGGTAGGAGGAAAATGTCCACTCTGTCCAGGGAAGTGTGGGGTCAGTTTTGGGGGCCTGTCAGCCTGGGCAGCATTGTTTAACATTGTAGGGATGTGTCTTCCCAAAGGGTGCATCTTGCTGAGACTGTTAATATCCTATCTGTTCTACAAACGGACAGAATACCTTCTCCTTTCCTCTTCATGATGAGGCAGTTGGATACCCTTCCCCATCTTTGTGTGAGGATGGTGTACACGAGGAGGAGGTATTAGTAAAATGCGTGGAGTGGGAGTTGCTTCCAAGTTTCCTGGCCTTGCAAAAGCAAAGCTGCACACTGTAATGCAGACAGCATTGCTCCTGTACCTTCCAAAAAATGCAGGTAGCAGGAAACCGCTTTAACAGTTTTCTCTCTAATCCATTTTACTATTAGATATGAGTCACTAGAATGCAGTTGAGAGATCTGTCATCTGTTAAGTTTCTTGTGTTAAAAGTTTAAGCAATATAGTCCATATGACTCTTTCAAAGTAGGGTACAGCTCTTACGCACTGAAGAAGCTTCCAACCTTAGTAACAAACACTGTAATATAGGCCACTTTCAGTTTGCACGTTTTGCTCAAAGGTGACCTACACTTCTTTTTATCAAGTTCTGTCAACATTAGCAATATGGGCTGAATTTGTCCTGGGGGGGGAGATCTGGTGTAAAGTTTAAAACTTTTAAACTTGGGTATTGAAAATTCTTTTGATTGATTATTAGCAGATTTCAGCACTGAGACCGCAATGCCGCAAGCCTTTAAGTATGTGTTTAAGTCCATCCCTATTCACCAGAGCATTTGAGCACATACTTAACTTTAGTCACGTGCTTAGTCCCACTGCATCTTAAGTGCTGAATTGCTCAATTGCACAGGGTTGGGCCGCTGAGTTGGAACCATATGGCTGCAATGGAGGGAACGTTGTAAAAAAGATGTTTCAGGGAACCTTCAACAGACTGTTCTGTTCAGGTTGTTCAGAAAACTGTACCAACCAGAGAGGGAAAACTTGCTTTTTAAAATGTTTTTAATGCTGAAAGTACAATATATATTCTGTTCAAACTCCATCCCCTCGGAGTAATCTTGATAAATAGACTGTACTTACCATGCCTTAGCCACCAACGTTATTCACAGAAGCTGTGCCGCATAGTGAAAAAGGCCACTCAGTAAGGGACCATTATATTAAATACATAAAAACATAAAGCCAACGTTAAGCTCATAGCTGTACCTCCAAATGTCTAGGTGCAAACAGAGAGATGAGGTGGATGGGGTAATATCTTTTATGGGGCCAAATTCTGTTGGTGAGAGAGACAAATTTACACAGAGCTCTTCTTCAGTCCTGAGCAACGTAGTTATACCGACCTAACCCCCCTCCCCACTCCCCGTATACAGCCCTGTGTGAAAAGCTCTCCAGTTGGCCTAGGAGCATCTTTACTTTAGCAGCGCAGCTGCAGCATTTTACATGTATGGAGACCTGCCCTTTATCAGTGTCACAGCTAAATACAAGGTGGAACAGATCGTTTAGCATAAGTAATTAACACACATTTCAAGGGACCATTCAAGGTGAAGTGGCCTGTTAACACCCTTCCAGTCATAGGGAGGAAAGGAGGAGGGAGGCGGGGTGGAGGGTTGTTAGTGGATTATAGATTGTTGTAATAAACCATTAATCCAGTGTGTCTATTCAATCCATGATGTTTAGTGTCTACCAAAGTTTATGAATTTAAGCAAATAGGATGGTTATGCCTAGTAATGGAGGTCTGATCCTTGACTTTGAATTTCTGTGCGTTCATATGTTGTAATCCAGGATCTTAATATAATTTTGATGTGGCTTGTTTTTCTTTTTAAACTTTATTCATTCAAAAATAAAAATCGAATGCTTTAAGATTAAAGGATATATGCAGTAAACCAGCATACTTCGAAGATGCAGGTATAAAAGCTAGAACTCTGTGGGCAGTTTTTTCCATTCGGTTTTTTTTTTACAGAAAAGTGTAAAAATTGGTAGGCTAAGCAATATCAATAAGATCATATTAGAAACTAAGTGCTTTCAAATTTCATTTTAAACCATCTGGACTTTTACAACAGCAGATGTTTAAGGAACCTATCTGTGGCATCCATCTTAAGCATAAGTAATTTTTATTGTTGCACAGTATTCCTTCTTTTTTGGGGTTATGACAGTGCACGTCTCAGTCCAGTGAGAAGTTTGTGCAAGGATTATAAATCTCTAAAAACCAGGGTTAATGACAGATGTGCCTAACAAATAGAATAGCTGTCTAGTGCTCCCCTTTTCCCTTCTAGATGATGCAAAATATCTTGCTGTGTCACATTATTTGGATTGTCAGCTCAGTTAGGGCAGGGAACTTGTTTTATATTTCTGTGCCAACCTCATATCATAACAAACATGATATTGACACACAGTATAAATACAAAATAATCATATAGGTCTTGATTCAGGAAAGCACTTAAGCATGTCTTAAGTCCTACTGAAGTCTAGCACTTTGAGCACATACTTAAATGCTTTCCTGAGCGGAAGCCATTGTGATGAGGGAATTTTGTCTCTGATGAGTAGTCTCTTGGTTCAGTTGGCCTGATAACAAAGCGAGTCAGGATTCTGCAACAATTATTAGGAGCCACTTGAAATGATGACATTCTAAATGGGAAAGGAGTCAGACTCATGTTTTGGGAGGGCAGAGGAAAGTCATTCTGCAGGGTTGATGGGGCAGCATATAGCACTAATTGATGTTATTAAACTGACTATTTAATTAAACTAGATATTTTTGTCAGGTGATTAAAAATCCAAGCTTTGCACACTTGCTGAAATGAAATAGCTAATGAGAAAAATAATGACAGGTTAGGTTATGTTTACTTCTTTTTAAACGCCTTAGTTATTTTTGCATTTTATCTACAGAAAATCAGTCTTCTCAAGACCAGGCCTCTACCCTGGAAGGTGAACTAGCTACAGTATAACATGGAAATCATTAAGCCACAATACAAAATTAATGGAATGCATGTGACCCTCATAGTACACTAAATTCAATGCTCTTTGTCAATACATTTTTAATTGAATCAAATTTTATAATACCCTAATGAACATAAATAATACCAGAACTGGAATTTTTAACCACAGAAACGAGTTGATGCATTTTAACTGAATTCTATACAATTATTAGCAGTATTAGTAATGCTAAAAAAAAATTTGATGTCCTAGTCTGTGCTACAAAAGCCAGGCTCTCCATATCTGAAATCTTATGAAAACTGATGTACCAGATAGGTAGAGGAAATAATACCTGATGATCTTGTTGGTCAGGGGATGTGACTGAGTTTTGGTTAACAAGAAGTCAGATAAAAGGTTTATAATTAATTGTTTAATAGGCCTCTTTAAGGTCTTATGGGCATGATGGCTATGGAACTTGTTTAACAAAACTCTCAAGTGCTTGTTAAATTTAGAGTCCAGTTAAGTCTATACTGAAGTAACACACTCCACTGTGTGAACATGAATTCATAGTTTACTAAAAGAAAAACACTGTGGTGAAAAAGTCCATTGATTTTTTTTTTCTTTTGGCTTTTTGTGGCTTTGTACAATAAATCCTCGTTACCCCAGTTTAAGCAGCATTAATGTTGAGTTTTAATACAGTGGTCCCTATTAAACGTGCATAATGAAATACTGGAACAATTTTTAATTCACTAATCTAAGCTTTGTACTGCAAATTTTGCAAGTACACACAAAACGCTTTCTTTTAATGAGCTGATTTCTCATGAAAACCACTGAAAAAATGATTTAGAAACAGCCTATATTCTGTATTTCTTTTTCCTCATTACTACTGACATTGGCCTGGACGCAAGGAGCCAGAATCACCAGTCTGCTCAGGCAGCTTTACTCTGCTTTTGTGACCCAAGACAACCATAAACCTGATTTAACTGGCTGGGTAAACCTGGTTTATGACTGTCTTGTCTCTCTAGAGCACACCGGTGAATGTGACCTAGGATTTTAGGAGCCCTACTGATGTTTATTCTTCACTTGGAGTATTCTGTCTGTTTTCCTTTTGTTGTTGTTGGAGAACACATCTTGTTGCTATGTAAACATCCTTCACAAAAACGCAGAGCAGCAACATTCAGAAAATGTCTTATGCAGAATTTGGTGCCCATTAACTGCTTTTTTCCAAACTTCTCTGAGGTACCGACTGTTGGTTAACTTTGTGCAAACAAAATTGCCCAGCAAATGGTCTGATTTGTTTTGTTACCAACAGATATAGCGAAACCTTCATAGATAGCTGAGAGACTATGTTAACATACTTTGACTGTGCGGTCCTAACTGTGTTTCTGCCAGCAACATTGCCAACATTCAGAGGGTATGGCAGTGCAACATTGCTCTCTTGGGAATTTGTTTTTTATGTTGACTACTAGGAGTTTAATTTAGTGCATTCAGGTGATTTATATGATGTACAGCAGGGGAAGCTCAAGATGACTAGGTCAAACTCCTGCTTAGCTGTAAAAAAAAGTAACCTCTCTGAGGCAGATAGAGCGTAAGGGCTTTCGGTGTGATGAACTGCAGGGCTTGCTGCTTAGCACAAGGGATGTGTTATTCTACCATCATGAATATTAGCGGTGCAGTAGCAGATTTGAGAACCCAGACTTTGGTTAGCAGGTCACATAACCACCAGTTTTACAACTTTGGCAGAGCCAGGCTTGCTTAAGAGCTTTAGATGTTACTAGAGCAGTAATTTGGAAGTGTAGTGGGGCAAATAGGTCTATTCCCCATCGTCTAGGATTCTAACACACGATTAACGTTGCCTTTTTTTGTTATAGGACCTCAAAATGGTTGGAACGATCCTCCTGCATTGAACAGAATGACAAAGAAGAAGAAGGTACTGTATGATGCATTTTAAAAAAGCAGTCTCTTAACTAAATGTTATGAAAACCATTGCTGGAAGAAGAAAAATGAAGTGTTATCATCAAACAGCAATTTAATTGCGTCATGAATAAAAGTTGCATTTAAAGGGAAGGAAGAAATGTAAATTTTCAGCATATATTATCTCCTGAAATACATTTGTCAACACCCTGAAATATGCATCCAAAGGAGACTGAGTTCTTGGGGAAATTGTTGTTAATAATCAGTATGGTCACTTTTGGGGGCAAAAATACTATGGCCCAGTGTTCTTTGCAGAAAAGCAGGTGAATGTGTTTGCCTAGGGCCAGACCCTGAGCTGGTATATGTTGCCATAGCTCCATTGACTTCTCTCGAGCTACAATGTCCACAAGTTGAGGATCTGGCCCCTGGTATTTACTGATAGTATGAGAGGTGTCACGGTGAGAGACCATGATCTAAAACTTTACCTTTCTCAAAGAGTCTGGGTGGGAAAATGCAGCATGACCAGTGTAGATAGCAGGAGTGAGGAGCTCATGACACGTTTATTAGGGTAGAATGAGCCTTTCAGTTCTAGTCTCTGGGTTCATTGTGGAACATTCTGCAGTGATCAAAATTCTTGCATCGTCATAGTGGCCCACGTGAAATGAGAGAGTGGTGATCTGTCCATTTCTTCATGGCAGTCTGAGCACACAGAATAAGGTTGTGAATGTACATGGGGACAAAGCTACAGTAACTAGTAACCCCTGGAGTTTGTCTGTCCAGGTCAGGATTACCAAACATCGTTGGCAGGATGGAGCTGGGGAAGCTTGCACTGTTCCTGTACATGACAAAGTCAGGGCTTTGATCTCCAAAGCTGTCAGCCTGGGGTACCTTTTAGAGAGGGTTAATACTCTCAAAGAGGAGGAGGACGCATACCAGTATGGATAACGCCCTGATGATAAATGACTAAAAAATCGGTTAGAAAATGCTGTCTTTTTAATTGGATTAGTTGTCGTGGAATATTTTGGTCATAGCCCTGGCTTCTGTGACACAACCTGATCTTTAGGTTTTGGGAGTTATTTCAATAAAAAGTCATGATCTTTGTCACCATGCCCTAATTGGTACCAGCCAAGCTTCCATCATGAATATTTACGCACTGTTTTATTTACTGTGTGTTTTCAGTATAATAGAGCATGCGTTTCATAATGTTTTTTAAACTATTACTTAAATATTATTAAATGGTTTTAAAACAATTTTTATTGTAAAATAAAGGATATTTTGCATTTTCCCCCCAAACAAGGCTTTTTTTATAATTTCCCATGACTAATGACTTAATATTTATTATTTAAAAAATTAAGGGCCATGATTTTTCTTTTTTATAGCTAAAACTGTGACTTTTTTTTTTTGCTGTGACCAAAACATGTCTTTTGCCATGACAAGCAACCAGCCATAATTACAGTTTCATTAAACCAGAACTACACTTAGCATCTTGGACTTTCTTGTTGTTTCCTTTTTAATACCCTTAAAAAGTGTGGAAAGTCTAATTGGGGTTTGTTTTTCACGTTATTGTAGTTGTAACTGAAGCCAGCATCCCATTTGGTCATCTGTTCTTTCCTCTCCCAAACACTCTCTCTCACGTTTGTGGCCTTTTGTCAGTATGTACATACAAACATTTAGGCACTAGTTCTGAAATGCACTAATAATTGGACTTAATAGAAATCTGTTTGCCAGAGGCTTGTCTCTCATTTGAAAGATGTATTGTTTGTATAGTGCCAGCTGTGGACTAGGTGCTTTACAGACGAGAATAAAGAACTGTTCTTGCAAAGAAGATCTTAAAATATCAATACAGATTAAAAAACAATAAAAAATGAAGTATTCCTAGACTATTTCCCATCTGAGTAATGCTATCATTAAGTAATCTGGATATTTGGGAGTTAATTTTCTGTTATTAACTGAGATTCATTCTCACTTACACTTTCGTTTTCTTGAAAGTAAAATGCCAGGTTCTAAAGACTGTATGCCACTCTGTGAGTTCTATAGTGTATTCTACTACGTTGTACCCTCTACTGCCTATAGATCCCAATCCTGTAAATGCTTAATCACATGCTTTTTAAGTTGGTGACTAGCCCTTTGGCTTGAAGTTAAGCATGTGTGTAAGTGTTTGCTGGATCGGGTTTTTAGATTGTAAGATCTTTGGAACAGAGACCTTTTATGTACTTGTTATCTATCACTTGTACAACAGTGTCAATTTATATGTCATAAGTAAAAATGCACAAGGAGCTGGGAGAAAGGGATTGTTTTCTACATTTCTGTATTGCAGGTACATCGTGTTTGAAAGACAGGGTTAGTACAATACAGCCCTTTTTGTGGAAATAATGAACAGAGAAGGCATGGTAAACTTTTTGTTTGATTTTCTTTAGATACCTGATAACTTCATGCCTCCTGTTCCCATCACATCCCCAATAATGAATCCTCTGCCAGATCCACAATCCCAGATGCAGCAGCCTCCAACTTCACTGCCACCTGCAGCCCAGGCTACATTTCAGCCCTCACATCTTCCATCAGGGCAGCCCATTTTACAAAATCCTTTCCAGCCTATTCAGCAGCCTCTGGGGCAGTCAGTCATGCCTCCGGCTATCTCAAAAACTAGTACAGAGGGGGCACCAGGAGCTCCAATTGGCAATACCATACAGGTAACGGTAATTAAGATTATGTTGTTTTGTATTCCGGTAGCACCTAACCGCCCCATCCAGGATTGGGGACTGATTGTGCTAGGCATGGAACAGACACAGAATGAGAACTTTCTCTGTTCATCTTAGGCCTCAACTACACGAGAAAGTGGCACCGGTTTAACTAAACTGATTCAAAAGGCTGTGTGCACACGCTTATTTTGGTTTAGCGTAAGTTGATTGGGAATTGGTTTCAGCTAAACTGAAATAAACCACTCTTAAGCTGAAGTAAGAATGTCCACATGGGGGCTTGCGCAGTTTAAATGGGTATAAAAACCAATTTAAGTTGAACCAGTACAACTTTCTCATGTAGACAAATCCAGAGAGAGGCTGAGAGACAAGGCAAAATGAAGTAAACCGTCTCACGGTTCAAGGCTATCTGCATCTCTGCCCCCTTCAGTGGTCTCTCTGAGTGCACCCACTTCAGGCCTCAAGGCTTTACGTCTCCAGGGTGGAATCTCACGATTCTCCCACTCTCAGACAAGAGGGTGGGCTGCAGCCTCCTGTGCACCGCCAGTGATGGCTGAGCAGGCCTGACTAAATTTGGCTGCCAGCAGCCTTTCTTTCACAGCTGTGACCAGTGTGAATGTAGAGACCCAGTACAGCTTTGACAAACCAAAGTATTGTGTGACTTTAGCAGTACGGCCAAGCATAACAAGGAAACGGGAGGGTTAACACAACAATCTACAGGCATATCTGTCTGACCTAGATTCTCCCAGGCACCCCCACTTCTGGGGGCTGGAGTTCAGTTTGCTTTCCATGGCCCCTGTGTCCCCCGTCCTCCCTCCCCCCCCACTTTAGACTCTCTCTGTTTGTCAGTCCCAAGGTTCTTTGTTTCCAGCTTCCCGCCTGCCGGCCCCTCCATGGGCTTACAGATTAGTACCTCCCAGACTGGGTCCCCTCCTGATGGTTGATCTCAGCCTGGTCATAGGTAGCGATGCCTGTCCCATTAGGTATCTGTGAATGGGGCAACCTGAAGCCATCGTCCCCTTTCCTGCAGAGATGCCAGGAACTCCTGCTGGAATTAACCCCTGGTAATCATAACAAACAATGCCATGGCAACCAGTTGGACATAGATTATATATCAGTTATTACAGGCATCTCCTGTGTCTGTCTCCCACCCATCCTTTGTTTATATCGAGCAACCCCAATCTCAGAGCATTCATCCCCTTTCCCCAAACCAGAACAAGACTCATGCCAGGAGGTGCTCATCTCCTATGAGTAGCAGGATCTTAGACAGCTGAAAGAGCGTCAGTGGGGTTTGTATCCACCATCTTCATTCAGGGTTGTCACTTTATTACCATAACCACCTAGTCGCTGCTGCTTTGCACTTGCTACTACCCTGAGCCAGGCAGTCAGGCTAATCGAGTAGCTCCTCCCTGCGACTACCCTGCTTTTCACAGCTGCTGCTGAAGAAGAGACATTGGATGCACTCCCCAGCTGAGACACGGCTAATGTTGCCTCTTCAGTCATCTCAGCTCCACAGGCGTGGAGGGGAGGAGCAAGTGAGCATGCTCAGATTGTTAGTAACTTGGGACGAGTTTAAGAAACAATGATAGATTACCTACAATTCCCGAGGAGTTTCCAAAGTGACTTTAATACCCCATCTTCTCTTCTTTAGCATGTGCAGTCGTTGCCAGCGGAGAAGATTACAAAGAAGCCTATTCCTGATGAGCACCTTATTCTGAAGACCACATTTGAAGCTCTCATCCAGAGATGCCTGTCATCTGCCACAGATCCAGTAGGTCTTTGCATTGGGTGATCGGTTAGTGGAGCGGCACTCTATAATGAAGTATTTTAATTAGACGTACACCGTGGTGACTGTGCATTAACCAGCGATAAGACTCTCATTCGTTTGAACTCTTTCTGGCCCAAAGGATCCCTAAGCACTTTACAAACATAACTCAGACACAGATTGTAGTTAGAAACCCCACACGCACCACTGAGAGGCAGCCACGTTGGGGACGGAACGTGGCAGCCGTTCAGCAGCAGCACCGCCAAGCACCACAGGCGTTTCAAACGGGGAACAAAGTATCAAGGGTGGTGAAATCCTGGCCGCAGTGATGTTAATGGCAAAACTCCCATTGACGTCAGTGGGAGCAGGATTCCACCTCAAATCTTTACTAGCGCTGTGGCCTAGTGCTGACGATCTGCCCCACCACGCGGGAGACATGGCTCCAGGTCCGGGTCACTTTGTCTCTGGATAAGCAGGCCTAGGTAGAGCACTGCTACTGGGAGAAAGGCAGGAGGAATTCCTTCTGTCCACAAGGGCAAACTCCTTCCATGGTATTAGTGGCGTCGTTGGGCTCCCTTCTGGCTCTCTTCCGGCTGGAAGAACTGGAGCTCTGGGCTGGGTTGCGGGGTGGAGAGCAAAGGGATCCCCGCTCTATTTCTGTTCAGGAGAAAAAGGGATTCCTTTGCCTCTCTTCACACCAAACCCGCCCCCTTAAGCTAGGAGCTATGCTAAGCTGATTTGGCATGTCATTGTTTGTCTGTTTAGCCCATTCCTTTAACTGGAGCAAGAAACCTCATATGCCGAGGTGGGTATTAGCTGAGGCTATCGTGCACCCGAGCTGAGAGACGGGGCAGAAGGATCATTTTAAGCCTCCATTTTTGATAGGTGTGTGACACTCCCCAGCGGTATTCAGGGTGTGAGGTGCCTCATCACTACCTGCCCACAGCATGAAGCAGCTTTGCCTGATGCCTGCTGTAGCTCAGCTCCCTGAAACCAACAGCCTGTGGCCCCAGACAAGCCCTGACGTCCAGATGTCCACAACCCCCTCCCCCCCCGCGGGCTAGTGACAGTCACACCCCAACCCCTGAGCCCATCTGCCAGCATCTTCCTCTGGAATAGCTGTCACTGGGCACTCACGGGCATTACCAGCTACGCTGTCCCTGAAGGGAGCGAGTACGCACAGCTTGACTAGAACAACTAGGGATCAGATCCTTTCTAGCAAGGCAGCACTGCAATCTCTTCATAGTGAAAACAAATACAAACTTAGAAACGAAGGTTAAGATTTTAAGAGCTAGTGAGCAAGGATAATTAGAAGAGTAGATTTTAAATAAAACAAGACATAAAATGCAATCCCAGGTCTACACTTACGGATGGTCACCTTTTCCTGTTTGAAAGAATATGTTCTCTCCTAAGGATTCAGGCTTTAACAGAGCTGTTTTAGTCATAGCTAGGATACTGGTTTTCATGGATACCCCCTGCCCTTTAAGCGGTTTCCTCAATCAATAGATGACAGAAAGTCTTTTTGTTATTCCTTATATTTCCAAAAACTCATGATTTTGTCCCCAAAGATGGGGAGACCCCTGTGAATTCCCTTCCTGGGGAACTGGCTCCAAGGTGTCTTCCCAGACGTCTGTTTATTTCACATCCATATGTTGACTTGAAATGCAGGTGTGGCTCCCATTGTGTTTGGCTTACCATGCTTAATCTATATATGAACCTAAGCAGTCATGCAAATATACATCCCTTTGTCTGGCTAAACCAGTTTTTCACCTTTGCAGGGGAGTAACATCTGGACACAAACTTGTAAGGACATATTTTCAGTATATTGACATAACTTCTTAAATATAATGAGTACACACATTTCACAATGATATTTTTGGCCAGCATGATCCTGGCTTTCATTTAAGATCTCACATGGTATTCTATATAGCAGCAATGTGTTAGGTGTAGTGAGTTTGTCAGGCCTATTAGGAGTTCCTGACCCAGTGTAGAGAACCCTTTACCTATTGGCACCAATGGGCTCTGTGTCACAAGGTGACATGTGCTTCATGATAGCAAACAGGCTTCACAAGAAGGGGAGAGGGGGGAAAGTATTAAGTGGTTAGGTAACCAGTTCTTAATAATTGGGTTTATTCAGTGTCTCTTGTCTCTGTAGTAATACATGGTTGTGCCTATGTCCTGCCACACCATGTGACCACTGCCGTCTAAAGCAGTGTTTCTCAAACTGGGGGGCCTGACCCAAAAGGGGGTTGCAAGCCGGGGGGGGGGGGGTCAAGATATTGCCACCTTTACTTCTGCACTACCATCAGAGCTGGCTGTCTGGATAGCGGCAGCTGCTGTCTGGATGCCCAGCTCTGAAGGCAGTGCCTCCGCCAGCAGCAGCACAGAAGTAAGGGTGGCATGGTATGGGGAGGGTCATCACAGCCTGAAATATTTTTAAAGGGAGGCCCAGCAAAAATAGTTTGAGAACCCCTGTTCTAAAGGATGGGATTTCAGATCTGCTCAAGTGTTTAATCATGCTGCCCTCTAGTGGCAACGTACAGAGACTAGACTAGAGTCCTACTACTATTGCAGAAGCATTTTATTGTGGGTTATCACTGGTAAAGTACAACAGCTGTACCTGTCTTATTTCCTGTAAGTGCCAGTCCATTATCTTTTTAACTGCTTCAGTGCACTCCAATTCCAGAGAAAACAAACATTTCTAAGTAAACAATGGAAATATCGGAGAGACTCCGAGAGAGAGATTTGCATTGAGTCAATAACACTGCAGCTGTAAAGAATAATTTTTACTCCTCAGCTTGTGCCAACAGTAAGTAGGTTGTGAAAGGACGATTGACTGGCTATTGGGCTCCTGTATGCTGAATATGTTTAACCAGTGACAGAGACACAGGTTTCCATTATTAATGTAAGCTGACATGTTGGTGCTGGAATACAATAATGGCTTTGTCAATGTAGTAAGCATTCAGTGGACTGTTCACAAATTGGCTGTGTGTCATATTTACTGAACCGCTATCTAACATTTAAACTAGAGATGTAGTTTTGGTTTGATACCTACTTGTATCATAGGCTGTTCCCTCCTCCCCTTGTTTCTCATCCCAACAATTTCCTGGTAGATCCGTACGCGTTGTCTTCACGGGAGGTGGGAAAGAATCCCTTCGTTTTCCTTTTGATAGACTCCAGAATACTATCTGGGACTATTCAGTAGCAGTTGATTGCCCAATGCTTTTCTCTGTAGTGGGATGGGAGCAAAAGTCAAATACAATGAAGAAGCCTGGCCCTTTGCTCCCATAATTATACCTTCTCCCTTCTGGGCAGCAAATGTAAGAATGGCCTGAAGAAAATTCAGTTCACTTTCTAACATCACTTCACTTTCTCTTGTTTTCCCCTTATGTAAAGGTCACTTTTTCTGGGGCATCAGCCCAGTCATTTGTTTAATTCTTTAAAAATTTCTCCGATTTTCTTGGGCAGAGCAAACATTCCTTGGATACAGTAGCTGGAAAAGCTTTCATGATTCCTTCCGTATATTTGAGGAATAGATCTCATTAGCACGTGGGCCGTCTCTCCCAGGCTAGGTACAAATACAGGACTTGGTATGAAAGACAGTGTTGTCTAGTGGTTAAAACAGGGAACCGGGAGTCAGTAGAACTACCTGCAGCTCTGCAGCTGACTTGTGTTGTGACTTTGTGCCCTTTGCTGAACACAGACGTTATTATCATCACTTAATCCTTCTATGCGGCAATTCCTCCCTCTGTAAAAAGAGGATAGTACCCAGGCTGTCAAGTGATTTGAGACAAAATCTTATATGTGGGAGGTCACACTAAGAGGCTCTTTTCTCACCCTGTCATTTTGGGAAATCATTTTTTTCTTTAAATCCCTGGATACCACGCAGGGTTATGCCACGCTAACTCTAGAATGTGCTTGTGGAATGACATTCTCCTTGAAGCTTTTGCCATCTGTAATAACCTTCCTTTATTTCTCCCATATCAACCATCCATCACACTTCAAATCTCTACTGAAATACAGCCATATAACTTTTCATTCTTTCTCTCTTTCTTTGTTAGTGCTTTACTGAGTACAATAACTCGGTGAAATGCTCTCTGGTAAATGAAGTTATTGATTCTAGAAGGTCCTGGACTGCGTTGGAAGAAGGAATCCCAAAATCTTTACCAAACTAGGGTGTCTCCAATGCTGCTGGCCTCTCATTTCACTGTCTCATTTACAGCTGGAGGACTCGGTTTTTACTTTGATTAGTCATGTGCAAAACTTCATGTTCACAGCTGTTCACATACATGACGTGGGATGAAAATTCACCATCTCACTAATGAATGTGGCACTTTTGGTGGAACATGGTGAAATTCCACCCCACACCCTGGGCAGGAATCATGAATCTATCACAGGTGAAAACTTGCTATTCTAAGAGAAATGTCATCATTTTTGTGGCAGAAAAGATCACACTGCACCCATAAAATTCTGTCTCTGCAAAATCAGAACTCTCAATGGGCACAAAAGATGTTTTGTAGCTTGGGGTTTGTTTGTTTTTTCCTGCTTCTAGTAAGAATTTGTTTACACATGTTCCTGTTTTTATTCTTACTAGCCTTGCCATGAAAATACAATCAGAATAGGTTTTAAACTAGTGAATTTCATTTCTTGTTTTTGTCTTTTATTACGGTCAGTCCTTGAACTCTCAGGACAAAATTATTTTGATCTTAGCATTATTTTTACTCAACAGAAATCATGTTTTTCCAGTTAGCTGCAAAACAAAATGTATACTATATATTTATGTCACACATTTTTAAATCCCAAAACATCGCAGGATGTTTCACAAACGACACGTGTGCTGTATTACTGCAGTGCAGTAGGTAGGCAGAACCTTAGGTGTGGGGGTTGGCTACTCTCTACTATCATCTAGTCTTTGTCTTTTGTAGTAAAATCAGTGGCGAAAGGTACTGAGCAAACAGCTTAAAGTCCTAATGAAAACAGTGCTAATCAGGGAATCTCAGTTGCTGCTGTTCATTTGTTACATGGTTTCCTTTGTGACTAAATCATATTCTCACTATCAAATCAGAACTGTGTTCTTAGTACCACTCCACTTCCTTTTTTCCCCTGCAGCAAACGAAGAGGAAATTAGATGATGCCAACAAACGCCTGGAGTTTCTGTATGACAAACTTAGGGAACAGACAGTAAGTAGTTTTGTTCTTTTATTACTTTGTCTTTAAATATTTTTTTCCATATGATGTTGCATTTATAAATATATTATATCATTGGTTAGACGCATGACATTTCAGTAGAATACTATTGCACAGGTCTGTTCCTATGCTTTAGGCATTTCTAAGACTTTCTTGAAAAGATGGCATTGATCCAGGTTTAATTATCACATATTAATCATTACCTAGAATGATTGGCACTGTGAGTGTGTGCAGACTTCTCATGCATGTGTGGAGTTATGGCGTTTGTATTGTGGTAGTGCCTCGTGGCCCTGACTGAGATCAGGCTCCCATTGTGCTAAAAGCACACAATAGGGGTCCCTGGTCCAAAGAGCTTACCATCTAAATAGACAAATCAGACAGAGGAAGTATCATCCCCATTTTACAGATGGGGCACATGGAGACTAAGTGAGTGGTCAAAGGTCACACAAGAAGTTTTGTGGCATAGCCAACTACTGAACTCAGCTCTGCTGAGCACCAGCCCCAGTGGCATAACCACAAGACCCTCTTTCCTTAGCGATAAATCTTTTTGTTGTTGACACTTGCTCGTGGGATGCTTCCAGAAGAGGAGACAGACCTTAAAGTAAGTAAATAAATAACAATAAAGCCATTAATGTGTCTTGTTCGTAGTCATCACTAACGCAGGTGCTCTGAACTCAGGGAGATGCTGGTGTAATAGTGGTGTAAAGCCATGTGTGGAATTGGCTGTATGTCCCAGAATACAAGTTTGCCGTGAGCCTCTGCCCCATCCCAGAAGAACTCTGCAGGCATTTTTTCTTCTTGTATTTTGATGTCAGTTAATATTCTTCCCCTCTGAACAGCCTGGAAACACTGGTGTAAAAGGGCCTGACCAAAGTCAGTTGAGGTCAATGAGAAGACTGCCATTGAGTTCATTAGGCTTCATTTTGGGTCCAAAATGCTTTAGCTCTTTGCCACACCTTTTCCAAGGGATGACCCAGGTGCCACAGCAGCACTGTGGTTTGATGCTTGACCTGGGCTATTCAGACTTCTGGCTTTGGCATACTGAATGTATTTCCTTCTGCTGAACTTCCTTCTGTGTCTCGGCTTCATTTCAGCTCTCCCCAGCAATCGTCAACGGCTTGCACAGCATTGCAAAGAGCATCGAAACGCGCAACTACACAGAGGGACTGAACATCCACACCCACATAGTCAGCACCAGCAACTTCAGCGAGACGTCTGCCTTCATGCCAGTGCTGAAAGTCGTCCTCACCCAAGCCAATAAGCTGGGGGTCTGATGTGACCCCTCTCCCTCGCCTATGCAGAGCTTGTGATGTCACTTTTCCAAAGAAGTACATTTCTGCAAAACGTGTGCAAGAAGGGGACCAAATACCAGACCTTATAGCATATTGCAGTAGATCTCTGATCAATGGCATGACACTATCCCTACAGATATACGTCATCTTAGAATGGCTTTCGAGCCCTGGTGCTTTTTTATTTTAATCTTTTATCATCCCTAATGATTCCTGTCTACAGACAGTATATTTAATGGATTACATCTCGTGTTGTCAATTTTAAGTGCATGTTGTACACTAAACAGTGGTTTTTAATACAGAAGTGAGTGGGAAAAGCTGATGGTAGGTTGTGTATCAGACAGATCTTATAACACATTCTTTCCACCTCCCCTCCCATTCCTCCATATCCACCAGATTAAAGTGTCTGATCCTCTTTTTAAGTGTATTTTGTCATTCATTTTATTCCAATTAGATGTTAAATAACTTAAATTTGCACTGGGGCAAATAAGAAAAATAAAGGCTGATGTGATCTTTTCAATAAAAGGTTAATTTATTACAACGTGTCTTTATGACATGAAGCTTTGAGATTTGAACTGGAGCCAGGGGGAGAGCTATCCATCACTTTGGGGAGACGTGGACATGTTTTCTCAGTGCTGAGCGCACTGCGGAAGTCCTGGTACATAGGGATTAAGGCAAGATTCTATTCTATTCCAAGATTACATCAGGATGTTCACATGTCAAGGAAGAGTTTAGCAGAGCACTGAAAGATCTGAAATCATTACAAGTTGCTAAGGCAACCAATAGAGAGAGGTGGGCATTCAGCACATAAACAAAGGCAAACCTTTTCTTGCATTCCTCTGAAGTTAGAAGTTATAGGTGGCCATTTTCACATCTGCAATGCTCCGACGTGCACTATGCTGTGACATGACCACTACCATGCCACTGGCCCCAGACCAAGTCAGGTAAGTTTCTTGTGTGTTTGTTATTTACTGATGCCATTTTCTGCTTTGTTTAAATTTGTACTTGAGTTTTTAAAATTTGAAAAACGTGTCACGAGTGGCAAATAAGTGTGGTAAGGACAATTCCATAATTAATGGAATCTCTCATTAAAAGGTATTGCCCGCAACAGCCTGTGTTTGTGAGAATATAGACCCATAGGAGCTATCAAAACTGTTCTTGAGGAGCTGCAATAGAGAACAGTTTCACTCCACCAGATGCTGAGACTTTTAAATATAGACATCAAAAGTTAGGTTCCTAAATCCATAATTAGGCACCTAAATAATCCTCCTCCTATTCTTCTGTAGTTGGCTATTGTATTGGCTGAATAGTGGCAGAAAGGTGAAATACGGCAGCACTGCCAGAAGTGAGTAATGAGGTTGAGGAATCCTTGTTCTTGTCTCAGTGAGAAAAATAAGCTTGTCAGTAGTCCACCCACAGATTCTTGGACCATATGGTCTAGTAAGTATTTCCCATCAGCTCTGTAAATGGACTGATTAGCTGTGTCCCAGGTCAGCATCATGTGGCATTTCCTCTTGTGAGGAACAGTCTCACAGATCTGGTCTGGCTAACCCATTTTACAGGCTCTGTTTCTTAGGCTGTAGTTGTGGTTGTGGGTATTGTGAGATCACACTGCTAGCCTGTCATCATAGCAGCAGCACAGCTATCCTGGCTTTGGCAATAGCCTACCTCTACTTAGGCTGTCCTCAAGATCTCCAAGCTGAGACCCAAGCTTTCTAAAAATAGAACAGAAATGTACTTAACGAGAAAATCTGCTACTTTATCAATGAGAACAGTTGGGAACAAAATGGTGATAGATCAGTTACCTTCTGATTACATCTTCAAAGAATGTCAAGCAAGTAAACCACTCTCTGACATTATAAACACACAGGACCATTTTCGTGTAAGGAAGTCAATAATGCGCTGCCTGTTTCTTACTGAAACCAGATTTCAGTGGAACCTCATTAATATCACTGGAGTTACTTCTGATTTACACCAGCTTGGTCAGATTAGAATAAGTCCCAGAGGCTGTGGTGAAAAAATAATAAAACATTTAAACTTTGGCAAGAGGAGTCTTGTCCTATGGTAGCTGGATGTGTCTTGTAAGAAGAGGAGCCCATCCTGGAGAAGAGAGAGTTCTCTAGCCAGTGGAAAATCTTTATATACATATGGAGGGAAATGTTTACTGGCACGTGCCGTTTTAATAGAATTTTCTAGTACCATCTTGCAACAGACGGGGATGCAAGGTGGAGGCTACTTCAGAGTCTTTTTCAGTACTATAGAAATAATGGATAATTAATCAAAAAACCTTTATTGCTTGTAAATCCTTGTCATGGGTTTACCGTGTTTTACTTGGGGAATTTCTAAGACTAGCCTACAAAGGAATGTTTTGGGTTATCTTTTAATCATGACTATTTATATAAGATATTAAATTTAGTGCTTTTGGGATAGCAGAGCTCCCTGACATACATACTGGGACTGTGGGTTTTGTTACATGCTGCTTAGTAACTATGGTCCTGCTGTCAGAAGAACAGATTCTAAACTGGACCCCTGGAAGAAAAAAGGAGAGAGGAACCATTTAATCCTGGTGGTGGCATACTCCTGATCCTGTTCTAGAACGTGGAGCAGTCAGGTTCTTGTCTCCTCAGCTCAGGGGCTCCTGGTAGTTGGATGATTGCTAAAGTCCTTGGATTTTTGCCTGCCTTTGTCTTCTAAAAAAATGTGTCTAGCAAGCCTCAACTCCCTTGAGGGGCTTTGAGCCTCACTTCAGATGACCCAAGCGGTAAGATGATTCCATTTGATTAGTCTGGTTGACACTGTGCTAGAACTTAGCAGGGAAACCGTTCCTCCTCCATCAGTTATTTTCCCCGTCCCTGCTCCTCAACCATATGTTGGACCATATGATGACTCTGCATAAAAGAAATCTAATGTGGATTAGCAATTCAAAACCACATTAAGCATTGATTAGAGAGAGAGGTTAGGCAAGGGCAGACCGTATTCAAGCCTAAATGCTAAAATAGGATGATTACTGCATCTCTCTTGCTTTCCCTCCATAGCAGTGAGATTCTGCTTCCACTGAAGTCAGTGACAAAACTTTACTGGTGCAGGACTATGCAGTCTCAGGATATTTGAGAGACAAGGTGGGTGAGGTAATATTGTTTATTGGACCATTTGTGTTGCTGAAATAGACAAGCTTTCAGGCTGGACTAGGCTTTTGGGGCAGGACTAAGCCCTAGAATTGGACTAAAGTGAAGTCGGTTTTCATTATATGTTGTATTATTTTCACAAATAATATATTGATACAAAGAACAGTTTTAACATGTAACATTCTATATGTGAGCGCACGACATTAAGGTTGAGCTTCCAACCTTAACTCAGCTCATCCAGGTTTGTGCATCCACGCTCTTTTTTAGGTAACTCTAACGCTCTATGCTCTTTTAGTTTTTTCTAATTCCTCTTTATTTACCCTGTGGAACTCATTGCCACAATATATCATTAAGGCCAAAAGATTATCAGATTTTTGATGTTGTTTTTTTTTAAAATTGGACATTTATATAGATAACAAGACTATCCAGTTTTGGAATAGTAAACATTTTAAAAAAAGAGAGTTTTGATAGGGGTATAAACCCTGAATCTTCAGGGCATAAGCCATTCTCTGACTATTTGAGTTAGGAACAAACTGAGGACTGGTTATCCCGTAGTTGCCTATTGCAATGTTTCTTGCACCTGTCTCTGAAGCATTGGTTCTGGCCACTGTTAAAAACAGGATACTGGCCAGATCGACCACATCGACCACTGACCTGATCCAATAAAAATTGCCATTAGAGCTTGTGATATCTCTGAGCATTCGGTATTTGACAGGGTGTCTTTTTAACTCCGCCATTCTCATGTTTGAGATACTCCAAGCCCAGGTTATTAAGAAAACCAGAGAGCACAATTCCAATGTTCATGCACAAAATTTCCCAGTTACTAATTTTGTTAGCTCTTAGTGAAAGCTACAAAGGAAGCCGTTTGTTTTTCTGTTTAGCCAATTCTGTTATCTCTTCACAGAATTACTGATCAGAACAGATACTTTTTTTTCCATGCAACCATAATTCAAAAATCTCTAAATCAATGCCTCTCAGACTTTTCACAAACAAACAAAAAAATACTTTTCTGAGCAAATTTCAATTCCAAACTTATTTGCTTGAGAATGTTCTGAGCAACAGAAACAGAGGAGTCGGAATGGAAGTTGTACTCAACCTACCAACAAAGGAAAATTATTCTTTTTAAACATTTTATTTTAAAGTCGGCTTATACATAATATTCAGTGCATCAAAGGGGAATTTAGGCCCCAATCCAGCAGAACACTTGAGTGTGTGCTTAACTTGAAAGCACACAAACGGTTCCATTGACACATTTGAAGTAAAGGGGACTATTCACGTGCTTTAAGTTAATCACATGCTTAAGTACTTTGCTGGATCAGGGTCTTTGCTTGTCTCCATTCCCTTCTCTGTCACTCGATGAGCTCCTAGGTCTTTGAACAATATTTCAAGATCACTTGCTAGGATCACAACTGCTAAATTTTTTTAAAAAAGAAAGAAAAATCAATATAATTCACTTTGAAAAATTTTTACAGCTCTGTGCTGAGATTTCATGATGGCTGGGTACTGCAACCTTCCTGCATTCTCTTTAACAGGTACTTGCTTCTCCTCTGCATTTTTCCAGAGAGAGAATTCTAGAAGAACATTTAAAATACATCTATAAAAGTCTTGGGCTTAATTATATACTCTCTGCTGATTCAGTGGCCTCCGGAGCGCTAGTTGGTAATTAATTAGCACACTAAGCTAATATGCTTTGCCCCAGTACAACTCATAAAATTGCTCGTTTCAAGCTCTGTTGAGCTAACATTTGAACATTAAAAACAAAGTGTTTACCCACCTCACACTGAGTTGTTTTGCCCAATTCATTCAGTTGCGAAGAGACTTTGCATCTTCCAGAGCAATGTCGCTTCTGCTGCATGAGAACAGTGCTATTCATTGTGGGGTATACGATGCCTGCATCACTATTCCAAAGGGGCATTGTATTGTACAGGGCAGGTAGGAATGGGCAATCAAGGTGCATTTTAATTAGATCCTGCCCTACTGCTCTGCTCAGAGAGAGAAACCAACTTTCATTTGCTTTTGATTGAGCGTATAGTTACAAACCGAGGGCCCGATTCTGGCAAAGCGCCCCCTGACTTGAATGGAAGCAGACCTGGAAAACCCAGTGCCTTTTGGTCTCATTTTCTCTCTCTTGTGGCTTTGTTTATAGTGCATGTAGTCAGGCTGATCATGAGCAAGTGACAACGTGGGTACTCGTTCGCACACTCCTGTTCCATGTTGTCACATCCCTTCTTTCAGCAAGATGGAAGTGCTCATGTTGCACACGGCCTCTCATGTTCCCATTTGCTTGGATGGAGAACACGTAAATAATCTAGTGACATGTTTGATGACTGGCCAGACTCTGTGAATATTGTTTCTTCTATCAATGCAGTTAGTTCACAAGTACATTTTTGTTGGTCAGCTGGTAAAGTGGG